TTAATCTACATGACTTGGAAGTGCGGTTCCAGTTATAAGTGGATATAATATATATATGTATATAATATAACTTATATGATATGAATAACCATAGCTTTGGGGGATTATATCCCAAGTTATGGGCCTTGTAATCAAGTGCCATTTGTAATCTCTGGCCTGCACCATCCCAACATCTCCCAACTCAGTCCGGCTATGCACGGAACAAAGGTCCCACAGATCTGCAGGCGGTTTTCACGGTGTGCGTTGTCCGACCAGCATAGGTTTGGATAGAGGTTGCCGATTTACCAGCATTCTATGGTCAGTAATGGGGAGATAAGTTCGGGGTCAATCATGGTATTTTGTGGGAATAATATGGAATATGTACATATTCCGAATATGTAACCAACAATATCATGCGCACGTTGTCGCCAGGAGTACCCTATCTTTAGACAGGACCCGTTTCCTGACGAGTTTCCCTCCCATTCAGCAAGGATTCTTAGTACCGTCCCGTAAGCAAACATAATAATGGACCATCCACCATTTATAGATGATTCTCCCACTAAACCCTCCAGACCATGTGTAGGGTTTTCCATCCATGTTTTATGACACCGGAGGGTACAACTCATCATTCCTGGGGCCAGACGAACCAAAGGTTTCATTGGCAGATTACTGCGTGAAAAAGATATCAAATACAACCCCTAAATGTCAAACACCATCCCCTCCAAAAAAATAATTTGGTATCAGATCCGAACTGGTGCCCTCATTAAAGTCTTCAATATTAGGGGAATATGATTGCTCAAACAGCATTCGCATCAGCATTCGCACCATTTTCGAGCGCAAAGATGTTGGTAGCCATGGAAATCACTCATAGTTGGACACGCATTCCCTATATTTTGCCCATTCAATTCATTGTTTTTTTTCGACTGCCAGCCATGTTAAAGTACCAGAGGGTATATTTATTATATGAATTTGACCCATGTCATCAATACCATCCAATAAGAAATGTCATTTCGGCCAAGCAAATGTCTCTTAGATCCTATTCCCTTCATCTTTTGCTGTTCTGTTAAGTTCAATCACCCATCCACCAAACAGCATGTGTAATCTTCGAATCTTAGATACCCGTGAAAGGGGTTGCTATTTTGGCCTCGCTCCTTAATCATTTTCACTTGAACAAGTTCAACAAAAGAACCACTTAGCCTGCCAAACAAAAGCCAGCCCCAGCAAAATCGAACTAGAACTATCATTCAGAAAGTGACTGAAATTTCATATATCATCATATCATCAAATATCATCTAGATTTTTTTTTAAATCACTTAAACACCATCTATTTCACCATCATTTTTACCATCATCCGGCTGCCCGTGGCGCACATTGGGGCATCCCGGTGGGGGCAGTTCCTGCAACTCCAACACCTAGCCGCAGAAGCGCGCTTCGAAATTCGGGGGGAGGGCTCTGGCGTTGAAGAAACTCCAAGAAATCGTTATTTTAGTTGGGATTCAAGTAGTGAATTTCATGGGAATACCATGGGATACCTACTTGTGATTAATTCACTATGGGAGGGATTCCGAAGTCACTAGTCGAAATGTTCTTGATCTTTTGCGTGGGTTTCCAGGTCAACACCGCTGTATCTTCCTCTAGTTCACATCCTAATGGTGTTGCCAGAATGCTTCATATGTGAACAGCTGATCCATCTGAAGGAACCAAACATCATTTGGATTTATATAATTGCAAACCCCAAGGCTTTTATCTCATTTACAGTATGGAACATACCGCCCGTTTGCAGAGACTCAGTTCATATTGTTGGTTGTTGATCCCACTCTTCCACTATAAATCCCATTATCCTCCAAAAATACCTGGGTTTCTGCCCCAACAATAACTTTGTTGCTTTTATCTTTTATCCCATGTTCTGAAATCACGCTTGGATTAACACGGGAATCCCAATTTTTTGATGAATTCGATTATACAGCGAATCATCATGTTTTCGTGTGAAATACTCAATTTCAATCTCCAACAAATCACCCACTGGGACTGTCTGGGAATAAAGTGTGTATATATATATCTATGTAACTTTATGTATACAGTCAATAATAATATACATACCCCAACAACAAATCCAATGGTCTATCACCATTTCCTGATGGTTTCAAACTATACAGGGTTGAACATAACATCTGGTGAATCTTAGATACCTGTCCAAAAATCCAAGTTTTACCTGATTAGTACATTTTACCATTGAGAAAAAAATGAAGTACTAAAGTATCTAACCAAGGTTGACCCAGACAATATGTTTGAAACCACCAAACAATTTCCCTAACTCAGCACATCAGCACCTCTTTTGGCGCGTCGAAATCCGACTCAGCATTGTTCTCAGCCTGCCACGGCAACGATTCAAAGATGGCAGTTTTTCACCGAAAAGGCAGATCTGACCAGGAAAACATGAGAATTATAGTTATTATGGCAACCGTAATAGTAGCGACTTAGTAGTGATAATAAAATCAGGCAACATGAGGATTTTGAACCACATGGAACAAAATGGTTTTAAGAGATATGGGGAGATTAAGCAACAAAATGTAAACCAAACCGATGAAACACACTATCTTTATGAGGATATGATATGCCATGGGATGTCCGGATTCTGATGGGACATTTCCGACAAAAAAACCCTCATGAACTGGGGATGTCCGAAAATCAATGATACTGAATAACGCAAAGTTTGCCATGTGACAAAGGATGGGATTTTGTGGTGATCTATTTTCCAACCAAAACTTATTTTAATCACGAAACGTTTCAACTTTCATCAACAAAAAACCTGGGGTCTCCACCCATTCTGCACGCAATGTTGGTCCATTTCAAGATAGGCGCGATCTGAGGTACCTCGTTGCCTGTTGGCCGAATGGATTGTTGTTATCCCCAATGGATATAGCATAAGCCCTATGGTCCTATGGCCCTAATCAACCAACAGGTGGTTTTGAGCACATTCAGTGCTCACGTAGAATCATCAACCAACTTCAGTTACCCGAACTGCCACTTATAAGTCAGTTCTGATACCATGGAATGATAGTCCCATTTACCAGTAGTACCGCGCAAGGCGATGGCAGAAGTTTCAAGGCTAGGACAGTATAGGAGAGGTGAGTTGTTGTGATGCAAGGATGGACCGAAAGGTGGCTGGAGTTGTGCTTTTTGGGGTGGTTGCAATGGTTGCAATGGTCACCTCACTCACAACTCGATGTAGTGTGGTGTAGTGCAGTAGTTGTAGCTGTATTTGTAGTTGTAGTGGGGTTGATGTTGTTGAAGTTGTAATGTTGTAGTTGGTAGTCGTGGTTGTAGTTGTAGTTGTAGTGTAGTGTCGTGGTAATTGTTAAAGTAGTAGTGTAGTTGAAGTTGAAGCTGAACTTGTAGTTGAAGTGTACTTGTAGTGTGGCTGAAGTTGTAGTTGCAGTTGCTGGCTGAAGTTGTAGTTGTAGTCGTTGCAGTTGTAGTGTAGTTGTAGTAGTTGTTGCAGTTGTAGTTGCAGTTGTAGTTGTCGTGGCACTTGTAATTTTAGTTGTAGTTACTGTAGTTGAGGTTGTAGTTGTAATTGAAGTTGTAGTTGTAGTGGTAGTGTAGTTGTAGTTGAAGTTGTAGTTGTAGTGTGGTGAAGTGCAGTTGCAGTTGTCTATCTATCTGTCTACCTATATATCTGTTTATCTACATACCTGTTTATCTATTTATCTTTCTGTTTATCTATCTGTCTATCTATCTATCTATCTACCTACTATCTATTATCTATCTATTATCTATCTATCTATCTACCTATCTATCTATCTACCTATCTATCTATCTATCTATCTAATCTATCAAATCTATCTAATCTATCTAATCTATCAAATCTATCTAATCTATCTAATCTATCTAATCTATCGATCTATCCATCTATCTATCTACCTACCTATCTACCTATCTGTATCTATCTATCAAATCTGTCTATCTATCTGTCTGTCTGTCTATCTAATCTAATCTAATCCTATCTATCTAACCCGAACTAATCCTATCTATCTAATCCTAACTAATCCTATCTACCTAATCCTAACTAATCCTATCTATCTATGTATCTATCTATCCATCTAATCTAACTAATCTATCTAATCTCTCTAATCTCTCTAGTCTCTCTGGTCTCTCTAACCTCTCTAATCTCTCTAATCTATCTAGTCTATCTAATCTATCTAACCTATCTAATCTGTCTAACCTATCTAATCTGTCTATCTATCTATCTATCCATCTATCTATCTACCTATCTATCTATCTATCCATCCATCTAATCTAACTAATCTATCTAATCTCTCTAATCTCTCTAATCTCTCTAGTCTCTCTGGTCCCTCTAATCTCTCTAATCTCTCTAATCTATCTAATCTATCTAACCTATCTAATCTTTCTAATCTATCTAGTCTATCTAATCTATCTAATCTATCTAATCTAGCTAATCATCTAATCTATCTAATCTCTCTATTCCATCTAATCTATCTAATCTATCTAATCTATCTAACCTAGCTAATCTAGCTAATCTATCTAATCTCTCTAATCTCTCTAATCTATCTAATCTATCTAATCTATCTAATCTATCTAATCTAGCTAATCTAGCTAATCTAATCTATCTAATCTCTCTAATCTCTCTAATCTCTCTAATCTATCTAATCTATCTAATCTATCTAATCTATCAAATCTATCTAATCTATCTAATCTATCTAATCTATCGATCTATCCATCTATCTATCTACCTACCTATCTATCTATCCATCTAATCTAACTAATCTCTCTATCTAACCCATCTAACCCATCTAATCTATCTAATCTATCTAATCTCTCTAATCTTTCTAATCTCTCTAGTCTCTCTAATCTCTCTAATCTCTCTAATCTATCTAATCTATCTAATCTATCTAACCCATCTAATCTATCTAATCTATCTTTCTATCTTTATATCTATCTATCTAATTTATCTGATCTAATCTAATCTATCTATCTCTACCTACCTGTATCTATCTGTACCTATCTGTATCTATCTGTATCTAGCTGTATCTATCTGTATCTAGCTGTATCTATGCGTATCTAGCTGTATCTATCTGTATCTATCTGTATCTAGCTGTATCTATTCCTATCTATATCTATCTCTATCTATCTATATCTATCAACCTATATCTATCTACATCTATTTATATCTTCTATATCGATCTATTCATCTGTCTATCTATCTACCTATCTATCTGTCTATCTCTCTATCTAATCTTATCTAATCTTATCTCATCTTATCTAATCTGATCTAATATTATCTTATCTTATCTAATCTTATCTTATCTTATCTAATCTTATCTATCTATCTATCTATCTATCTACAAGTTTGAAAACGAAGCTATTTATTCTGCGAGACTTCCTCGTTTTTTGAACTTGACAACATCAAAAACGCAGCAATTCTGCGAGACTTCCTCAACTTTTGAACTTGACAACGCCAAAAATGAATCTATTCTGCGAGACTTCCTCAGTTTTCAAGTTGACAACATCAAAAACGAAGCAATTCTGCGAGACCTCCTTCAAAAATGGAAAGTTGAGTGCAGAGCTGATGGCCTCGCACCAATGCGTTTTGCGATTTTTCCACTCCATCTGTCTAAAGTGCTGCGCCTGCCACGAAACAGTGATGCCAGGTCATACGAAGTGCTGCACCTGTCACGCAAAATCATCTTCCCAAAACTGTGAAGATCTGATGCTCCAAAATGCAAGCTCTCTCAAGAAATCAGCGCCCTGACCTTCTAACATCTCTGATGAACATGTCCCTTGTACTGCGCCTGCCACGCGAAATGCATCTTTGCAGATCCTCTGCAAATGTCCCACGCCTGCCATCGTTTTGGGAAATACTGTAAAACCCTCATGTTTTGCTCACTTTTGGCAAGGTGCAAAATCCCTTGCGCCTGCCACGCAAAATCACATCTGAACCTTCAAAAGTGGTCCGAGCATGCAATGTTTTGTAACATTTTGACTTGGAAATGTGCTTCGCGCCACAAGGGCGTTCACTTTTTCGACATCCCAACTTCCAAAAGCGGTCCGACGTTGATGTGTTTTGTATATTTTGACTTCTAAGTGTGCTTCTCGCCGCAAGGGCGTGCAATTGTTCATCTCTCATCTGGCCACATGGCTCCGCACTTAGTGAGCCTACTTTTCGACCCTCCGGAGCCCGAAATCATTGGAAAAACACAGTGTTTCGCGACTTTTCTACCTTTTCGCGCATCTGCATCTTCTTTCTTCTGACTCTTTCTCTTCTCTGATCTTCTCTCTCCTGCTCTTCTCTTCTCTGACTCTTCTCACCTCTGCTTTTCCATCTGTCCATATCGTCGGAAGTTTGACTTCTAAACTTCCTTCGATAACAATTTTAAACAGTTGTAACTGCTACAGTATGCTACAGTGCTACAGAACTTTAACCGTTGTCGTTTTTGATTTCCAACTGCTCAACGGCTATTCCCAGAATCGCAGGCCTGGGGGTTCGCAATTCCACCGAGGGGATGAAGGTGCTCCTGGTAACCCAAGTGGTAAGGGATACCCGATGGCAAGGGATACCCAAAATTGGCTGGTACTGGGTGGTTGGGGTATCCCAACCACTATTTTTTAAGGGCACTGATGGACGCACAACATCGGTAATGTTCAGTACTTGCTGAACAGTGTCGACCATTTTGAACCTCAGTAGCAGAGTGAGCTTGAACAACAAGTTCACGAACCGTTGGGTAAGACATCATGCTGGGGATATAAGCTATCCTGATAGCAACCAAAAAGATTTACAACAGTCGGAAACGTGGAAATCACCGGTAATCGCATGTGGCAGCGGGATGATTTTTCAGATTCCACCTCACGGCCAAGGGTGGTCGATTTTTTGTTCCATGGTTTTCAGTTTCGCAACTTTGAATTGAGATGCATCTAAAACTTGCAAAACAATGAAAGAAAATTGGACAGAAGATTGGTTATCATCTTTCTTGAGGGAATTGGTTATCATCTTTCTCGTTTTCTTTCAAACGGAGTCTCTTTTCCAGTTATATCACATTCCCCATGAGTTCCGAATTATATATAGATCAGTTGACGTTTAGATTATGATGGTTTCACAAAAAAGGTGATCTTTTGTGGCGACCTTTCACCTGTTTAAATCCCAATATCCCTTATATTTTGTCGCTTAAATCTCCATTATATACAATGATTGACCCTCTAAATACAAATCTGTGTTCCTCATATGACTTAACTATTTAACTATCATGGTTGGGAAAATCTTGGTAGCTCCTTGGTTCCCCATTCAGCAAGGAATATGGATATCCATAACTCCTTTTAGTTCCCTCCTAACCACCAATGCACCAAGTAGGACACATCTCCATTTCATGATAAATAGCCCGTCGCGACTCCAATTTTTTAGGTTTGTTCCCCAAATCATCTTAAACTCGATCGATGCTCAACCATGTTTCCAAACTGATCGGATTCAAATCTTTAGGTTTCTATTCATTTTAAGTCAGTATTTCTCAGATTCTCCCAGTTCCGTGGGTTTACCAACGAACACACGACGACTCTCGACGCGAAGCAGCGCATCGTCCTGCACCTTCCACGACATTAGAAAGATGCCCACGCAGCAAACGCCCATGAGAACGGTGGGAACAATCAGTTGGAACCTGCGACCAATGGAGACCCTCAATGTGATATATGTATATACCCTCTGGTGAACTAACATAGCAATTGAAAATGGCCATTTATAGTGGATTTTCCCATGAAAAATGGTGATTTTCCATTGCTATGTTAGTTCACCAGAGGGTATATATAATATACATATATGTATGTATGCATGCATGTATGTATGCATGCATGATTGTATGTATGTATGCATGCATGGATGTATGCGTGCATGGAAGTATAGATGCATGCGTGGAAGTACAAATGCATGCATGCATGCATGCATGGAAGTATAGATGCATGCATGCATGTATGCATGCATGGAAGTATAGATGCTTGCGTGTATGCATGCATGGAAGTATAGATGCATGCATGCATGGAAGTATAGATGCATGCATGTATGTATGCATGCATGATTCTATGTATGTATGCATGCATGCATGCGTGCATGGAAGTATACATGCATGAATGTATGTATGCATGCATGATTGTATGTATGTATGTATGCATGCATGCATGTATGCATGCATGGAAGTATACATGCATGCATGCATGCATGCATGCATGGAAATATAGACGCATGCATGTATGGATGGAAGTATACATGCATGCATGCATGCATGCATGGAAATATAGACGCATGCATGTATGTATGCATGTATGCATGCACGATGCATGTATGTATATATGAATGTATGAATGTAAATATATATGTATATATATGCAAATACGTATACATGTATATATGCGTTGCATAAATTATTTATATATATAAATCAACGTATGTCTAGTCATCCTCAAAAGGATAGAAACGTGAGTCTTCACTATTTTGATTGGGATTTACTTTTCTATCGTTTTTCCGGGCGGCTATTTGTATAAAATATACATATATATACATATATATATATACATATATATATACATATATATATATATATACATATATATATACATATATATATACATATATATATACACATATATATATACATATATATATATATATACACATTATATCAATTGTATCTATAAACATAGGGAAACCACGAATTCTACTGTATGGGGTAAAGACCCATTTCTATCGGGTTGAAAAGGGTTTATGCTATTCAGTAGACCTGGAAACCTGTGACGAATGGTAGGGGCAAATGGTGGAGGACCATGGGTGAACATTCAGTTACCCAATCGTACCTCACCATGATACTAATGTACTTTTTTTTCACCATGGAAGAATGGGCATACCTTGACCCTCAAAGTAGCCAGTAATTAATCTTGGTTTAGGTCCAACGCATAGCAAAGTCCAACGATGCATGGAGTTGATGAGGGTCTAGGTCCAGGATGTATGGTGTTTGCTTTGTATACCAAGATGGTAGTGGAAAGTAAGATACACGATATGTATATTTCAAGCAATTACCTCGGGGATTGAATCAGCTAAGTCTTTAAGTTAATCATATACCCAGAAAATCCCAACAACCTGGATTAATTGTGCACTATCCCTACTATGGTTGGTAAAATTACGCGCTGACACCATCTTTTGCCCAAGAATTCAAACGCCACAACATGATACAACACGTACATATATCTTAAGATAACTATCAATACATGTTGATCCGCATAACATGATCATATATGTTGGGATATGTTGGGATATTGAACCACACGGATTAAAATATAAATGCGTGGAAATTCTACCATGATTGGATACATATGACACCATGTGGGGCCGAGAAGTTCAGTGGCTCAGGCCGCTGGAGATTTCATAGAAATCCCCAAATAAAGATATCCCAAAATATATCACAAAACTTCATAGTAATCATGATATCTCAAAATCAGATATGTTTGAGCTTAATTTGTTAAAGGCAAATATATAGATAGATATATATATATATATCTATTTATATATATTATGTAATATTATGTGTATATATATATAGAGAGAGAAAAAACATCACATAAACGCAGCATCCAAGACTGAATGGATCCTAATTCTCGATCGTTGGCCCAAAAAAATGGGCCATGCTGTTTTTCCTCAAAGAAATCTCCCATGATTTGGCCATGGATCAATAGGAAACCCCATGACTGTAGGGGGATGAGCATCATGGGATTCTGATCATGGAGATATAACTTGACGGTGTATGTTTTAATGAATAGCAGTAATAACAAGACCAACAAAAACCACATAAAACCACCATTTTCATCAACAACACCAGCAACAATATGCAACAATTGTCAATCGTTAATGGTGTACTATTGGGTTTACCACAGTAAAACCAAGATCGACAATCTGCACTTAAATTGAATAACAATTCACTGACCTGAAAGCAAGTGATTCTCGGATGATTCCCGAATAGCTCGCCCACAAAGGATGGGATCCGCGGTCTGTGGGTGAACGTTCACCATAAACTAACCCACTCAAAAAGACCGTGGGATGAACATGGATGAACCACCAAGTACTCCATTACTATAATGTCTATTGGGTCCACGAAATTCCGAAGGATGTCCCACCTGCATCTCTTTCGTGGACGACCCGCCGACCATCGCTTGTCATCACCGGAGTATCCGGATCCGGAGTCGCTGTCCTGGGAAAGACCGGACAGGGAACCGGGGGAAAACGTGGACATATCTGGAAAACGTGGATGAACACGTAGAACAAACTAACATAGGGAAAACTGAAGAACCTTACCACAATAGAGGAATTACTTTACTTCGAGTGATCCCCACCGTGGCATTCTATCTGATATTCTTTCTTGCATTCTATCTGACATTCTTTCTGGCATTCTATTTGACATTCTTTCAGGCATTCTATCTGACATCTATTATGACATACTTTCTGGCATTCTATTGTGAAGTTCTTTCTGGCATTCTATCTGGCATCCATTCAGCGAATGCAGCAAGTGCAGCAAGCGAGGAGGAGAAAGACAAAGGAGGACAAAGAGGCGGAATAAGAAGAAGCGATGCACCTTTGTTAAATCTAGAGACCCTCACCTGGCAGGTGGGGAAAAACATGTAGAAACAAGTGGGATCACCTGGGAGAAAAAATGGAAACACATGGACAACATGCATCTGGGGAAAATGGGTATAAACCAATTATAAACCTATCTCTTGTGATTTGGGGCTGAATCATTGTTTCAAAAATTCATGTTGAGAGTTTCTTCAACGCAAAGGTATAGAGGGTTTTTTGCAGGTTTCTAGCTGGGAAAATCCCCGATAAAATATCGGCAGATCATTGGATAATATTGGAAAATCCACTATGGGAAAGTCATCGTAGCAAATGGGGAAATGGTCCTGCATGCCACGCTACTAGAGGGTACATCATCCCATGATAGGTGGTTTATCCCATTATTTAAAGGGTTTATTTATTACAGGTGGTTTATCCGAAAATCCTCCATCCCAGAGCACACTCGAAAAAAATGTGACGCCTTGAGCCCAGATTTCATGGCATGGGATCATTGGGATGGAAACGAAGAAATGTTTGAAAGCACTAAAACATGGTTTCTTGTCATGGAACGGATATAATCTGAAACAAAGAATACCTAGACCCAATCCTTGTGTGCAAAAAATATTTACTTAGATTGGTGCAGTCTATTGTGTAAGTTGATGAACTGGTTTATCATCCCAAGCTCTCGTCGCTTAAGCTGTTTTTGGTAGTAGAGGATGGTTCACCGACCCACTAGTCGCCTGAATTGTTGCATCTCTGTTGCCACGGTTGATAGAGGGTAAATATTATTATCATACCATTCATAGATACTCTCTAGATGTATACCCATACTGTGTTTATATCTCTATGTACTGACAGCTCTTCATTGGGGCAAATGGATGATAAATCTTTCCATGAAACCACTTGGATTTGCCAGTTTTCCATCTCCATGATAATAATTAAATCGTATTAAATCCATAAATGATCATAACCCAATTTTCAACCAGCAATGACCCGCTGGAAGACCCGACCCGGCCTCAGTTGCTTCCTGCCTCTGAAGGCTTTGATCAGTTGCTTCCTGCCTGCGAAGGCTTCGATATCGATCCGGAGAAGGCCTGCCACTCATCTTCACCTCAGGATCACCAAGCGAATCCCTTCCGCCCTTTGTCAAAAACGCACCGAAGGGAAACCATGGTGGATGTAGGGGAAACCAGGGTTCATCTCTCCTGCTTTTTCATTCATCAAATCAAGTTAAAACAACACTCCCCACAGATACCTAGACCCTCAGAAATGCCAGTGAAATTTTGTTTCAAGTATAACAAATGTGGGGTAATATAGTCAATTTCTGGCGTAATCTATAGGGTCAACGTAGATTTAACATCTGTTCAAAAATTGGTAGATTTAACATCTCTTCAGAAGTTGTTTCAGGCACCCATTTTAATTATCATGATTACCGCTTCAACACCACTTTCACTGGCTCAAACATCTTCATGTGCAACTTTTAGCGGTTTAAAATCTACATAGGGGGAAAATGGGGCTACCCCCAAATCATCCAAAATTAGAGCATTATAGTAGTGAAACCTATGTTTTTTGGGTACCTCCCCCATTTTTTGGAAGCCTCTACATGCTGATTACTCAACTCTACTTCCACCAGCATTTTGAATTGCTGTCGCCCCTCCTTTCTCCTGTGTCGAGTCGCCAGGGGCTCATCCAGGCCACTGGCCGACGACCGCTTGTGATCTTTTACCACGCGCAGCCGTGTCTGTGCTAAGCCTATGTTGAGCCCCGGAGATTGCAGGACAGGTGCACGGCTTGTGGATGATCTAAAAGAGGGGCTATAAAACATGGCTGATGTTTTGAATCATTCGCATCGTCATGGTCATTTTATTGTTATTGAAATGATCATTCCATGGTTATTCAATGACAAAATGGCGCATGTTCCAATATGTTCCAATCAAAATCAAATTATCATTAAATTTGGGAAATGGTACTGGTGTTGATGATGATGATGGTGATGATGATGATGGTGATGGTGATGATGATGATGATGATGATTGTTTTATAGTTGAGTATTTGGCAACTACAGCAGGGTGTGTAATCGACAGACTTTGGGACGTTCGAGATAACTTCCATCGAGCTGTGTTGGATGTTTCAAGGGAAGATCCACCCACAATTGTGGCCGGCCCCTAACATTCCAACTGTTTTTTTGTATCGTATGCCAGTTCAGGGGAATGTCACCCTGCGATGGTATGTATACTTACATGGTCAATATATATAAATATATATATATTGTATAGGTATGCAAATCTAAATAGTTATATATATATACATATGAATTAAAACATGTGCATATATATACATATATATATATAAATATATATATAAATACAAAAATATAAATATACAAAAATATACAAAAATATAAATAAATAAATAAATATATATATATATATATATATTGGGGTTTCCTAAAATGGGGGTACCCCCAGATCATCCCTTAAAAAAGATGGCTTTTCCATACCATCCAACCCTTAGGGTACCCCCAGACGAAACCTCCATCAATTTCGATACACTTCTTGTGGCAGTTGCTATAGCCCTTAAAAGTTATAACTGCCTTAATCTGGCTGATATATATAATGTATATATAATGATATATAATGATATAGAATCTATTAGAAGCAAACTAGTTACAGGAGTCGGAGTTATATCCTTCCATTTACAACTGGTTTACAAGGCCATAACGGCCATAACGGCCATAACTGTAGCAGACCTTTCCCCCTTGTTTTTGCGCGCAGAACCCAGCCCTTTTCAGAGCGTCAAAGTCGCTTGGCTCAGTATCTCTCTCCCTCTATGGGGGATATATTGTATGATGTGAAAATGTGTACCCTCTGGTGAACTAACAGTTTGCAATTGAAAATGGCCATAGAAATAGTGGATTTTCCCATTAATAGCATGGTGATTTTCCATTGCTATGTTAGTTCACCAGAGGGTAATAGTTTGGAATTGTTTACATTTAATCTACTCCACCGTTCATCTTCTTGGATCCAGTCCGAAATCCGAAATTCTGGCAAATGCCCAGCGAAATTCTGGCTGAACTGGATATAATTTGTTTTGGCTGAGCCAAATTTCTCCACGTTCTTCTCGTCAATCTGTCTCTTTTTTGAGCTCTCAGCGTTCATCTCCAGAGATCATCCAATATCCTCAGAACATCTTCGAGTTTGTTGTCAAATACCCAAACAAAATGGAATCATGCGGTAAACCTACAAAAAACCATCCCCAATAGAGGTGTTCTTCATTGAGGATACCACTATTTAAGGGATGATGCAGTACGCGACCCGCGTTGATGGTGGCTATGATTTTTACTTTGAGTTTACCACATGACATGAATTTTTGAAGGGTCACTTATTCACAAAATAAGGAAAAACGGACCATAATAACAACATGGAGGTAACAGTAGGCATCCAGCATTTGGAGATTGGCATATCAATCAGGGCTTAACCAACAAAAATTGGAGGTTTCACTTATTCAAATCATCTGGGACATTGAGAACAGTCACCAGCATCATCCAGGTGAGTATTTGAGTCATTGGGAATGTTCCCACCTTCACTAGCTCCAATGCTGGGCTGAGGAGACTTTGGACTTTGTGTCACTAATTTGTGTAAGAATTGGGCTTGACCATCCTGAAGTCAGTCACATAAACCATCAAAAACCAATACAAAACACCTTCTATCGGCAGTTTTTGGTCTGAACCATAGAGGTTTCCTGAAATGGTAGCCTAAATCATCCATATTGAGTTTTCGGATTTTCCATTCTAAACAAACCAGCTATTGGGGATCCCTCATGACTATTCAAACCTGCATATGGACCGTTTTAAAGATCAAAAACACACAGAAAGCTCACAAAGAGTTCGCCTCTACCGGCTCTCTGCCACTGGATGTTGACCATAGTCTACATACTAAGATGATACCATGATTACACTACACCAGTAACGTACAGTAATCATTATCGTCATGTTGCTTAAACCATGTGGGATAGCGCGAAGCCGCGAATCTTCTTCGCCCAAGGCACGGACAGAAGCTCCGCTTTCGCCCTCCACGGCGCTCAACAGGATGGATTTGTGCGCTGAAGCAGCCAAGCGATGCCTGCAATGTCGCAGTTTGTCACTGATTTCTCAATGGATTGCTTTAAGGGAAAATTTAGAGGTGCAACGGTGCAACCAAATAGAAAGGCTTTTCCAATTGTGAGATCACACCAATTCAGAAAAATAGATTCACATGCTAGTCGATGGGATTGAACCGGTGACTGATGTCACCAACACAAATCAGGATCATCAGCCCTTGTTTTTAAATATGGAGACTTAAAATATGCTGAAGCTAGCAGCCAAACCATGAATTGATATGAATTTATGAGTTTTCTGGGTTTGTTTGATAGTTTTCTGAGTTTCACTCAGTCTCTGAAATGCTCTAATGTTCCACGTACGCACAAGTTCCTCTGACATGTCTCGAAGCAATGATGTTTTTTTGCATGTTTGCCACCAAGGGACCAGAGCACCAACTGCCGTGGGGAAATGTCTTTGTCCCCTTGAAGAACCACCACGAAATAAGATCCGTGATGTCTGGCAGGGTCACCCTCATAGACCACCTTGGAAAAGTCAGAATTCAGCGATGGGTGCAACATGACATCGTTTAACCAAAGGAAATTTAAGCAACCCATGAACTCTTAAACCACCAAAAACAAATTGGTGACATGAAATTGATATATATATATATGTATACGTGTATATATATATATGATTATATATATATATATATGTGGATAACAAAACGTAGGTTTCAAATTCATTTGTAACCTTGATTTTGAGTCGGGACTGGCCATTTTCAGTAGTAAACAATCCCATTTTTGTGGTACATGTTGATAAGTTATGTCCCAAACATGGGTTGCTTCGATCGCTATTTCTGTATGGCCCATCCCCTCATTCGGTCCCGAATAGCTTTGTGCAGAAACATGCTTAGGCCATGGAGTTAGTTTTAACTACTTCGTAGATGGATTCACACTGCGGATATAGTAGGCTATAGCCCACAAAGAACTGACCAATTAATGTTGGGCTCCGATTAGTGTCATGGTACTCTATTGTGAGAAAGTTTTGCTTCCTAATTGAGTATCTTGGTGGTTGTTGGGGGGGAGCCTGTATTGTGAGTTTTTTTTTCAGATTTTTTTTTCTTCTCAGATTTTTTCTCTCCTTTTTTTTCAGATATGTTTCCCAGTTTTTTTTTCAATTTGTTCATTTTTTCCAAATAATTAGATGCTTTATTAAACCCTTATTAAAAAACAGCACCCAGCCAATTTTTCAAGGTGGTACCCCATGAGTGGCTCAGATACTCAATAATATAATTGTTTGGATGGTACTCTATTGTGCACAACAACTTTTGGGAATGAAAAAACAACAAAAATCATTTCTACACCTTTCTTGAAAGTAAATTGAAATCAATTGAAAGTAAATTGAAATCAATTGAAAGTAAATTGAAATCAATCATTAATCCATTCCATTGATTTTCCATATATTGGGTGTCCATATACCAGTTAACTATGGAAAACCACAATTTTTAATGGGAAAACTCACTATTAAGTGCTATATCTTCAGAAAATAGCCAAAAAAACTGCGGCCACCGAGCCACAAAGTCGAAGCCATGTCTCAAGGCGCTGACCACGAAATAACCACGGGCTGTCAGGTCCTCAATAACCATGGGGAAATCATAGGGAAATCATAGGGTTTCCCCATGGGAACATGATTAAATGGGTACAAAAAGGGAATATTTTTGGTTGAGCTATATATCATATATATATATCATATATATATATATCATATATATATATAGTAATATATATATATATATATCATATATATATAGTAATATATATATATATAGTAATATATATATAGTAATATATATATATATAGTAATATATATATAGTAATATATATATAGTAATATATATATATATAGTAATATATATATATAGTAATATATATAGTAGTATATATATATAGTAATATATATATATAGTAATATATATATAGTAATATATATAGTAATATATATATATAGTAATATATATATATAGTAATATATATAGTAATATATATTTATATATATCATATAGTACTACAAGAAACGTACAATTTTCGGCCACGACTTGACCGGCCGCTTTGGACGCCATGGCTGCCATGAACGATGGATCGTTCCAGGAAACAAACAGAAGGATTCACCGGTTCACCTGCAAAAGTTGAGGAGTTTACCGTTGAACAACTACAGGTTTCAGATGATTTCTGCCTATATCATCTGAAATCATCTGAAATCATCAATAAAAAACAACTATAGGTATTTCAAAAATGGGTTTTCAGCTTAGTAATTTTCGTTGCGAAGAGAGGGATCTTCGGGGCAAGCGGCTTCCTTCGGCCGATTGATGCCTCTAAAATCATCCACTCATATGGCTATGCGTCAAGCCAAGGCCGGGACCACAGATTTGAGTCTACCAATATGTATTTACCATCCAGATTTGAGTCGAGTTTATTCTTAGGAGTTTAAATCATCCAATGATTGGGGTAACTCATTTTGAGCCACTCACAAAACTTCTTGATGGGTCACTTGTGAAGGGTGATCTGCAATGGTGATACAGTGATACCAATTATTTGTGACGGATCAAATATCGCCAGATAATTATCTGGAAATTCAACATTTTCTAGTTATAATCACCACATATAATTCAACCAATTAGTTACTAGTTATAATCAACCAATTCTATGTTTAGTTTAGGTTATTAGGATACCTTTTTTAGTTATTGAGTTTATGAGTAATTCTTTGAGGTTTATATTTGAGGTTTACCTGGAAATCTCCCAATTGACTTATGATTTCCAGGTATGGGCTGATTACCACACACAACCCATACAGTAAGGTCCATAAGGTCCATAACGTCACGTCCCCGATCATCTTTTGGGATTCCCAGAGCTAACCATATACTAACCATATACTAACCATATACTAACCATATACTAACCATATACTAACCATATACTAACCATATACTAATGCCTGAAACCATATACTAATGCCTGAAACCATATGTTAAATATAGATTTTTTGGACATTCCATCCCTATGATTCCCTATGAAAACAATAATGTAGTAAACCCAATGCCATAAACCATCCCAGTAAACCAACCATGTGGGTCATTTTACATCATGCCAGAGGTATACCCAATTTCATAAACCTCAAACTTGGGGATAGTTTATGGAACGGGCCTCATTGGCCGGACATATTCATGAAAACCCCTATAATCCCAATTCCAACAAATATATAGTTATAGTTATGATTCATGATTCATGATTGATGATCATTCATATTATCCCATGAAAATCCATACATATCCATACTATATCCCACTATTATTGGGTTTAGCACCTCTTAACCAACCAAAGCTGAGCTTCTGCTTGAACCGCAGCTGCCTCCTTGGAGTTGTGCGCTGCATCTGCATCCAGGGCAGGGTCGTAGGCAAAGGGTGCCTTGGAGCAGATCCATCAAAAATTGGGATAAAGTACGATCAAAACACACACATAACAATGATTACCAAGGTGTATATGGATTGAAATGGATGTTTTATGAATTTGATTGAGCCTATAACTTAAACTTTGCATGTGCCCAAGAAGTTGTTATTTTATGCCTAAATGTTGGCTGGTACTTTGCCCATTAATGGGTTCATTGAGAGTCTAGGCAGAGGCGAAAAACGACGTATTTCACCATGAATTGGGGTCCTTTCCAATCTGAATTCGGCCACAATGTGATCTTTGTATTGATTCGCGTTGGAATCAGGTAGCCCCAAAGGTATGGTTAGTAGTCAATATATGTCAATATTATTCTGGTTGGTGGTATACTTACCCCTCTGAAAAATGATGGAGTTAAAGTCAGGTTGGATGATGACATTCCCAACTGAATGGAAAGTCATAAAAAAATAAATGTTCCAAACCACCAAGCAGTATTCATATTATTTAATAATTGCTACACATTGTCCGAAATCCAAGGATTCATGGAATCCATATCTACATGGGCCACTCATCTCTTCGTGCTATATCATTGGTGGGCCATGTCTTCCCTAGCTACGTAACAAATTACCAGAGGGTTTTTTCCATGATATATCATCATATATCCCATTAAATCACCATTAGATCACCATTAAATCACCATTACATCACCATTACATCACCATTAAATCACCATAAAATCACCATAAAATCACCATAAAATCACCATTACATCACCATGAAATCACCATTACATCACCATTACATCACCATGACATCACCATGAAATCACCATGAAATCACCATGACATCACCATGACATCACCATGACATCACCATGACATCACCATGAAATCACCATGACATCACCATGACATCACCATGACATCACCATGACATCACCATGAAATCACCATGGCATCACCATGACATCACCATGACATCACCATGACATCACCATGACATCACCATGACATCACCATGAAATCACCATGAAATCACCATGACATCACCATGACATCACCATGACATCACCATGACATCACCATGAAATCACCATGACATCACCATGACATCACCATGACATCACCATGACATCACCATGACATCACCATGAAATCACCATGACATCACCATGACATCACCATGACATCACCATGACATCACCATGAAATCACCATGACATCACCATGACATCACCATGACATCACCATGACATCACCATGACATCACCATGTCATGGTGATCACCATGAAATCACCATGACATCACCATGACATCACCATGACATCACCATGACATCACCATGAAATCACCATGACATCACCATGACATCACCATGACATCACCATGACATCACCATGAAATCACCATGGCATCACCATGACATCACCATGACATCACCATGACATCACCATGACATCACCATGACATCACCATGACATCACCATGAAATCACCATGAAATCACCATGACATCACCATGACATCACCATGACATCACCATGACATCACCATGAAATCACCATGACATCACCATGACATCACCATGACATCACCATGACATCACCATGAAATCACCATGTCATCACCATTACATCACCATGAAATCACCATGAAATCACCATGACATCACCATGACATCACCATGACATCACCATGACATCACCATGACATCACCATGAAATCACCATGACATCACCATGACATCACCATGACATCACCATTACATCACCATGAAATCACCATGACATCACCATGAAATCACCATGACGTCACCATAAAATCACCATGACGTCACCATGAAATCCCATGTTTGTTCCTTTTCCGATCCAGGCGATCCACCACTCCCTGGATTCCGAGCTTCCCCGAGCTGCGCGTTCTGCTGCGGATTCGACGGCCGCGTGCCCAGCGGCAGCGCCACCTGCCGCGCCAAAGACCGGCGCCGCAGCTGGCGGGCCACGTCCTGGCTGCCAAAAAGCCCGAGATGGGGAGAAGGCGCAAAAACCCCCAGGGAAAACATGGGAAAACCGGCAGAAACTGAAGTTTTGCATGGGAAAAACCATGGAAAATGCTGGAAAACCTGTACCATGAAAAACATGTTGGTTTTAGGACGGTTTCAGCGTCAGTGAAGTCAGAAAAGTGGTTGTTTACATAGCAGGCAGGTTGATCCAAAAAGTGGGCATGGGGCCAGTTCCTGAGCAGCTGGATGCTATCTATATCTATTTGTCTATCTATTTGGATAGATAGTCATAGATAGTCATAGATAGTCATAGTAAATTCCAAACTTAAGTGTAGCTTAGGGCAATTTTGGACTGCTTCCCAAAGAAGGAACTTAGTTTTGAGGTTGCCTGAGGTTGCCCTGAACAAACCCGCAAAATCGCTCAGTCCCCAGGGCTTGAATTTCGCCGGAAAGCAAATGTAACCTTCTGGCAAACTAGAAAATGAAAACGGCACTTGGAAGTCCCCAATGTCAATGGGACATCATCACTTCAATGCGGATTTCCTTGCCATGCTGTGACACTGTAGATCTTGAAAAGTTTGAGCCCAGAAAATGAATTAACAAAACCTCCTCCCCATCCAGCCAATTTCCCGAGACAGCATCTGTGCTCCCCGACGAAGTCCAAGACCACATCTTGCATCTCCACCTGTCAGTGACAACGTGCGGTCAACTCATCATCTGCCAGCCACAATGGTTTCTTGGTGCTGTCAACGATATGAACCGGGGAAGGGGTTACTGTATTGTTGTACCAGCAAATCAATTAGAACATGATTTTCTGTACATTGACTATATATATATAATATATCTATATGGTGGATATATATATATATACATACACATAGTGTATATATATACATACATACACATAGTGTATAAATATATATATATGTATATACACGTATATATATATGGTCCCGAGTCAAAATTGTGTATGGAACGTTCCGCGGTGTTCCGGACGTATGGAACGAAGGGGCTTCGTAACTGGTCTTGTTCCGGACCTTTGGAGTGTGATGAAATATAGGCTATACATAAATAAATGAATATATATATATATACATTATATGTAACATATATAATATACATCTCAAGGATATGCACGTTGAAGCTACTCCTCATCTGCACGACATCCTTGTTGTACACCTGTTCAACGCAGGTTTGCCTTGCATGGCTAGTGCTCGTGCACTAGATACGACACGACCGGTAGCCAGTGTCACCCACTGGCTACCATGTAAAGCTATCGACTCAGCTTCAGACCTATCACGCAGGTCCCACCTCCTACTCTTAAAACTCAGAGGTCCCTATGGGGTAGATTGTGTCCCTGCATAGCAAGACTCTACCCTCCCATAACCCACGCGCAAAGGATGGCTTACGAGCAGTCTATGTGAGAACCTGCCATGTGTTCACCAGTGGGTCAGGGGTGGTACATGGGTGGTCCAGGTCTGGAACGGGTATGGAACTGTATGGAACGGGGTCTGGAACGAAACGGCCCACTCCAGCACAGCACTGCCACCACGCAGCACATCTTTATCAAAATTCGCAGTTTGGAGCGAGAATAGCGCAGCAAGCAATTCTTAGACTGCCAGCTGGCAGCAGCCAAGCGCATCTCTACAATCAAACACCACAGCTGTGCCACAGCCTGCAGCAACTTTAAGTGGTGCAGGCACAAACCTGCCACAGGTTGAGAGGGAGGGAGGGTTACAAGCAATCCATTCGTAGACTGCCAGCTGGCAGCAGCCAAGCACATCCCTACCATCACACAACAAAGTAGGTAGCAGCTGTAAGTGCTGCAGGCACAGACTTGCCAACACAATCACAGGGCTTGGGCATAGTAAACGTATTCTTGCATGTATGCACTCATATATGTGTGTACAAATGTAAAATCAGATTGCACATAATCAAATATATATATATATATAATTGTATATATATATATATATAATTATATATATATATAATAACGTATGGATTAGAGGTATGGAACAGAGGTATGGAACAGAGGTATGGAACGGATCCCTCAAGGAGGTATGGAACGGGGGTATGGAACGGGGGTATGGAACGGGTGTGGTCCCGGAGCTTGTTCCGGACCTCCTATTTTGACTTGCCCCCATATATATACACACATTGTATTTCTAGGTTAGGGGATCACTTAGAGCACCGGAAAGCGGATCACTAAGAGAACCAGAGAATGAGATCTTTATGGTTCAGCTTGGGGATACGGGGCTGGGACGGGACAAGTCGGGACACGGGGATGGGACATGGGGCAGGTTTCAGGGACAGGTGGCTGGGACTGGGACATGGGGTGGGTTAAGGGGACAAGTATGGTGGATCAGAACCAGAGAATCAGACCTTCAAGGCTTAACTTGGGGACACGGGACTGGGACATAGGTTCGGTTACTTGGAGGGACTACTGGTTGATTTCGGGCCGGAAGGCGGATCGCCTGGAATGTGTACCTGCGTGCATCTATCGATGTCACTACGTGCGTGCTTTAGTGCTTCAGCGTGTAGGCACGTATGAATGTGTCCATTTATGTGTCTCCGTGTCTATATATAGCTATCGCGCTATGTATCTCTTATGTCTGTGCCTGTCGCTTTTCGGCGTTCCAAGCGATCCACTTTCCGGCGCGCGAAGCGATCCACTTTCCGGCGCTCCAAGCGAACCCCCGACTGTATTTCTATCCATGCGCTAATGCAATATCTCCATGGCATTCCAAAGGTCGAATGAGTATAATGGTAGTAATATCGTCAGGTAATCAAACTTGAACTATCTTAAATAGGCAATCCTTAGAAAAAACATCATACTTCTTTTTCCGGCGGAACAAACTGCGGGGCTAGTCCGGTATGAATGGTTCATGCTAAAATTATACCCCCCGGGAAAGCTAAAAAAGTAATTTACAACCCTTTTATACCCTTTTTCAGTGCGATCCAAACCCACCTGGGCTGATCTAAAAAAGTGTGGACCCATGACGCCGCGAGCCTTCTCGCGATCGGGTGATCGGGATGACGTGGCAGCCATTGGGATGGTCGTCAGTGAGTAGCATAGTATAGCTACCATGATGGATTTTAGATTCCAAGAAGAAGAATTGGCACGTTTTTTTCTAGTTCTGTGGCACAGAACTCATGTACATGCTGCAAATCTTGATCAAGACAAACTCTAAAACTGTTTGGGGGTTCTTCAAATGGGGCACCAGGGGTTTCAATACTAAGTCATGGTCTAATGACTGGGATGATTTGGGATACCCCCATGACTTAGGAAACGTCCAAATAGGCCCTGGGCACATTGCAACTTGATCCAGTGACTGGACCGCACCTGGCATGCACTTTGCGAAATGGAAGCCATGGCCCCATGGCACATTAAAATAGATGATTCAATTTTATGTATATATATAATATATATATGTATACAATACATACATACATATACATGAATATATATATATATTATATTAAAATATAATTATATATATATACATGACGATTTAGCTTTGAAACCTGGTGATGTTCCATATGTTAATACCATGAGGGTAAATAGGGCGCCCTATTTAAAACGCACTGGCGAATTGTTGTTTCTTATTGTGTGATAGCCACAACTTGGGGCGCTGTATCCCCCACTTTCAGAAACACCCAAATCGACTATAAGAGAGTATGACTCGCTGTGTATCCCAGTTGTAAGAAGTTATCACCTCATATCACCTCTTGACCCAAAGGTATTAAGCACGTATGACTCCCAGCATGATCCTCCTATTGCAGTGTGCCTTTATCTGCCGGCTGCAGACCCGTTGCACTTTTCGACCACGTCTTGGCCCTCCAAGACACGAGGCTCAGAGATCCCGGAAACGATTCGACTGCATGTAGGCATGCAGGACCGATCTTGGCCGGAGGCAATGACAGCTATACAAGCCACTTGAGATGGAAAAAATGTCAACCTGGATTCACACACCTGGAGTAATCAATTGGGTGGTTACCCCCTAGTAGTGATATATTATGATATAGTACTAATTATCAAAACTGGTATCCCCCTATTAATTATAGATAGTTATGCTAAAGTACTTACATGTAGTATAACTGGGGGGTTTAAATCTTGGGTTGACATTAAATCATTAAATATGATCCATGTCTAAAACTCCTTCATACATTTCATACTGTATTGTCCAGGTTGGGCTTCCTAGACATGATCCTGTTAATTCACCCCGCTTCGCGTGGGGTGGCCGCCCACACCGCAGGTTTATTTCGGTCCGTGAGAGGGGCTAAGGGTGGTTTTCCCCCGTGGGGGCTCCCCAAGCTAAGAATTTTCACTTCCCCCCCCGTGGGGGCTCCCCAAGCTAGGGAATTTTCACTTTTCCCCTCCGTGGGGGCTCCCCAAGCTAGGGAATTTTCACTTTTCCCCCCCGTGGGGGCTCCCCAAGCTAGGGAATTTTCACTTTTCCCCCCCGTGGGGGCTCCCCAAGCTAGGGAATTTTCACTTTTCCCCCCCGTGGGGGCTTCCCAAGCTAGGGAATTTTCACTTTTCCCCCCCGTGGGGGCTTCCCAAGCTAGGGAATTTTCACTTTTCCCCGCCGTGACAGCTTCCCAAGCTATGGAATTTTCACTTTTCCCTCCCTTGGAGGCTCTCCAAGCTGCGGAATTTCAAATAGCTAGACAACGACGCCTAGATAGTCCCCCAAATCCCGTGTTCTTTGAATGTGTTTCCATGTTTTTGCAATGGTTTCCTTCAAAGCACGGTACTTTACACTTTTGTCGCCATAAAACCGGTCGAAAACATCATGTTCGACAATGCTTCCAATTCCCTTATCTCCCCAACCGTTGAAAATACCGCTATTTACAGTGTTTTCTTCAATTTTTCCATGTTCCAATGCCGGTAGCCAACTCCAACATATATATAAGAAATCCTTCCAAAACATTGTTTTTGACAGTGTTTTTCCAATGTTTCCAGTCAAACAGACGGTAATTTACACGTTTTTTGCCATAAAGGCAGTAAATCCTTCCAAAACATTGCTTTTGACAGTGTTTTTGTAATGTTTCCAGTCAAGCATACGGTAATTTACACGTTTTTTGCTATAACGTCAGTCCAAAACACTTGTTTTTGCAGTGTTTTCAATGCTCTGGCATCCAAAAACCCTGCAAAATCTTGCTATGTACAATGTTTTTTTCATTTTTGGCTGTTTTTCCATTGCCGGAAAGCTACCAAAATGACCCAAAATTCCATTTCAATACCCTCTTGCGCTCAGACACCCAAAAATCCTCGAAAAATGTCGAAAACACCACCGTATTCTGGTCTCGGTGCGAAACCGTTTTTGCCCCCCCCCCAGCTAAAGCTGATATAGCGACTGCTATATTAACAAATGTCATTGAGCATTTAGTGTTGCTGTTTTGCCCCCCAATAAGCACGCCTTCACCGCCAAAGCGGTGTGGGCGGATTCAGCTGCACATCAACATCAACAAGGATTTCATGGGGCTAGGACCTTGCGACCTTGCTGATTGCAAAGTTTTAGTTGATCAATGTTGATCATGTAAACCGTCCATTCTATCAGCAACAGGATCTACAAGATATCCACCATGCAGGCACATTTGTGCTGCCACTCACACCTCCTGGAAAATTCAACGAATGCCATCAAAATCGTGATGAATTGTCACGGCAGGACGCGCTTCTTTGAAATCAAGTACTCATCACTTGCTGAGCGCAAAGAACCAACAAGCTCAGGTACACGAAACCACTAAGATCACTAAGCCACTAACATAGGTTTTTCACATGTGACACTAAAATGTGGCCCTTGCAAAGCCACGCCATACGTGTCACATCGTCCCATTGTTATCTGCCAATGGACCATGGAGGATTCAAATAGCACGTGACCTTTGAAGATCGTCTCAAGTTGACAGAAACTATAGGTGATTTAACTATATATGGTATAGATTAATATAAGTATATTACCATTATTGATATAGCTATGGTGATTTATAATATGGCAATTTATAGCATGAAGAGTCAGAGAGCAAGTGAAGATCTGCCGATCGGCACATCAATCCAGGCGTTGAATGCTATGACTGTTACCGATCAACGGGGCTCAAAAATACCTGCTATGCATGAGCCTTTAGCATCCTTTAGCTTCGTGGAATTTTCCCGCAAAGCTTTGCAGCAAATCTGGCATAGCTATGCATAGCTTGGATGCCTGGAATCATGTGGACGTAAAACTGGCAACTGATGAATTGTGCCCTGTGAACCCAATCCTTTTGATGGTTGTGATGGGCTACACTTGAAAATACCATTGTTTTGAATCCAAGCCTTGGTTCAACCAAGACGTTGTTCTCAGACAATTTGGAAAATTTGGATGGACTATCCGTGGTATCCGTGGTATTTTGTGGGGATATTCCCTTACATAGGCCTTATATAAGCCTTATATATGATAGGTACCTCCAATTTAGGTTCCTGAAATGGCCATTGATTCAAAGATTAAAGAAAAAGTGGATTGGATTCATAAGGATAGATTAATTAGGCCCAACTTTAGGGCTGCTTTCCGATCCTGGGGCGCCTTGATCTCAACTTTCTGTCACTCTGCAAAGCTTGAGACAACTTGATCAGATTTTGTTCCTTTTACCCGAAGATAGTACATATAATTTTCTTACATAATCAATGATTGTCTATCATGATAGACATCGAATTTCGATTCATATGATCCTATATAATTATATCCCATATCCATCACGTATGGGAGTAGCGTGAATTTCACTCCACAGCTCCATCAGAAATCAACTATTTTTAGCCCCATGTTTAAGGCTTCTATCCGAACTTGAAAAATCCTAGTTCAAAATCTCTAATGCTATAAAATGATGAAATGCGGTTAAAATTGCCTACAAAATGATGAAATGCTGCTAAAATTTCCCTACTAGTACAATCTACAAAATGATGAACTGCTGCTTAAATTCCCTAACTGCAATAACATTCCCTAGAAAATAATGTCATGTTCCACAAAAATCACCAGAATATTTTCAACCATCATTCCCCAATCTTTCCGCCATTCAAAACCATAAAAACCATCAGTGTTTCCCCCGGCTTGTCCCCCATAGAACTAGCAGTTTTCACCATGTCATCCCAGGGTCGTATGGCGACACAAGCTTCGCCCATGTTTGCGTGTCGGCGTGGGCAGCTGATCGAAGCGGGGCCGTTTCAGCTCCTTTTGGCACGTTGTGGCTGGGAAATTCATGGAACTATGGAGAGTGATGATACAATAGTTATATTGTTATAGTATGTTATAGTGGTGATAGTAGTTATAGATAGTTATAGTAGTTATATGTAGTTATAGTACTTATACGTAGTAGTTATAGTGGTTATAGTCATTATAGTTATTGATAATTCAATAGAATAGTGATGATATGATTTGTTAATCAACATTGACCATCCCATGAACCAACAGCACAACGACTGGGGCGCCTTTGTTTTTTACATCAGTAGCTGACTATTACCAGCTATAACTACAATGGCTGATACATCAGTAGCTGGTAATGTCGTAGCTGTTGTGGTTGCAAAAACTATGACTATATATAATGGTTCCAAAATGTTCCAAGTACGCGCGTTCCAAGGATCCAGCTGTACACAACACGGCCGTTTTCGATGAGAACAAAAAACAGGTTAGCTGAAAAATGACTAATACTTGTTTTTGCTGATGGTTGACAATGGTTAGCAATGAGATAAACTAACATTTTCATATTGGCTCTTTATTTCTTAAAATGCGTAGGCTACTGCAGGCTCTCATTTATAACAACAATCGACCGTAGTCCACCATCATAATCACTTGAACAATTTGCAATGCAATGATGATTTATACAATTTCCGATCATGATGTGCTTTCCTTTTAATGATCTCCACTTATGTTAGGAATTGGACAATTTACCCTCCAGTAAACTGACATGACAATATGGAAAACCAACCATTTGTAGTAAGAAACCATTGGTTTTCCAGTACCTATCTTGGTTTACTGCTTCGTTTGGAGAAAGGTGATATAATTCTAGTGACACTTCATCAAGCAAATTGGCTTCATGATGTGAAAATTCTGTATTTTTTTTTTTGGGAGACATCCTCTGGCACCTCTTGGGATATATCCTCTGGCAAAGATGGCCATGCCTGGAAAATACTACCATTTTTTCGTGGATAAAATCCCAAGCGAGCGAACGAAACCTCCATGGCTACGTCGGGAATTTCCCAGTGCAATGAGGACACTGGAGGCTATGCACCCAGTGTCTTCCAACACTTTCCACTGGAGGGAGTTCTTTTTTGAATCGTGGCTGAAATGGATGCTGTAACCTCAAGATTTCATCATTTTTGGTGGGTTTTTGGTGGGATTCCAACCATCCCCACAGTCAATTTTGTGGCTGGTTGGTGGTTGGTATACCTACCCCTCTGAAAAATATGACTTCGTCAAATGGGATGATGACATTCCCAATATATGGAAACATATAACATGTTCCAAACCATCAACCAGTTATGGCATTGGGTTGCCGACACTACAGTGGCTATATTTTGATGTTGCAAAGAAGATCAGCTGTAGAAGGAGTGGGAAAGGCAAAGGGGCCACACAGTTGGCTGAACCCAGTCGTGGCGTACGCCGTACTTTGTGCTCCCTGTGGTAGGTTGATTGAATGGAAGCTGAAACCAGCTGCATGTGGACAATTCTCTGCTCTCGAAACTGGAATTCAACTAACAACCACGATAAATCAAAGTACACGTAGCTCACAAGACCAAACATATCCCGTCTGAACCTTGACCCCAAGTATCCCCTTCTGTGCCGCATGTGAACATGGCATCGCAGCATCGCCCTTGAGATGGTTTGAGGGAACAGGAAACAGGAAACCAAGTGTTTCAGCGTTGTAACAATCTCCCAATTCTGCTGGTTCATGTCATATCAAATCCCAGAAATATCTGTTGGTTCATGCTTAACCTCAAGAATTACCCTAACTTGAATCCATTTGATCTTCAATACCGTATTACTACCCTGATATATCTCAATAAATAAGAATAAACCCATACATCCCAATGTATCCCCATATATCACCATATTAGTCAAACATCATCGCTGCTTCTTTCAGGGACCAAGCAACGGGTTCCATCGTGGCATCCTTCATCTCGACATCTGTACTGTCGGTTTCCTGCTCCTTTGAAACGCTGCTAGAGGCTTGGGTCTGATGATGTCTGATGATGTCTGATGAAGTTGTGAGGATGGAGAGGAAACATGAGGCAAACTTGTCTATCTCTGGACTAAAAGTGTTGTTACTGCTGGTACCTAGTTCCTTCTGTCAAAGGTCACCCCAACTTTACAGTGTGCTGCATCCCTGGTTGAGGGGACATGCTCTTGTCGGGCTGCCGGCAACAGCAATGGAAGCCAATGATCTTTCGTGCATAAGATTTTCAATCATTCATAGTGAGAGAATAAAACCTGTGAATGGGAGTATCCTTCAGAATCAACCTGCTGTAGAATTCCGTGTTTGGCAAGAATAGATGGAGCAATTTGGCAAACCATCTACCATCACCTACCGTTCGTAGTTCTTCAAGTCGTGACCTTTGGATGTGCCAAATCTTTCCCCATCTCCCCAGCTTCCCATCAAACCAATTGTTCTGCAGAACCCCTATTGAAACCAACAGTTACATTCCTAATCCTTTGACGTTCTCATTTTGTAGCGGCTGAATCCTCTCTTCTGGTGAATCATTTTGAAGCCTCCCATTTCTGTTGGAGAGCACCCCATGTTGGTTGTTCCCCGTAAATTATTGTTGGCTACATCCCATGCCACCGGGTGGGACACCCCCCGCCTGTGCAGAAATCAGCTGATCCGTGGGCACGCGGACATAGAAACGACCATCTTGAAATCGAGATGGAAACCTCGATGAGAAAAACTGCAGCTGACGGAGTTCTTGGAGTTCACCAGAGCTGAGAACTGCTGGATAACACATCCAGCACTCTATGCTGAATCTTTTGGCTAGACATTCCACCAAATGCTAATTCAACAGATTTCCCCTTGCAACTGGGATCATTCCCCAATTTCCTCTCAGCAAATCCTCCTTCAAAGCGCTTTGTTGGTTAAATCCACCATCCAAGACTGGAACCGCCTTCCGATTCACTAAATAACTGAATCTAGTTATTAGATATTATTAGTTAGCTACTTACAAATGGATTATAATTGGATTTTGTTTCCGGTTTATAAGAACCCAGATCCGAATTAGTTAATCCCACGGCCTATCTAAGTAGGTGAAATCCCACTAAATCACCATTTCTTCTGATCAAATCCCATTCTATCCCACATTTTTCTTGCTTAAATCCCACTAAATCATCATTTCTGCTGATGAAATCCCATAATTCCCATATTCTATAGCCATTTTACTGGCTTTCACCATGGTTTCACCATGTTTCACCACCTCTCAAGGCACGTCTGTAAGACCTCACAGTTCAGCGCTCCCAGCGATTCGCCGCTGGCGAGATCAAAGGTCTTGTTGTGCCGCGGGCAGCGCACCATGCCGCGCCGACCAGCGGAAGCGGCAGCGGGGCCTGGTGGTGCCCGGTATCGTGTTGGTTTATGGTAAAGATGAATAGTAGATATGGTAGATAATTATACCCATCTATCTATTTAATTCTATTTATCCATCCATCCATCCATCCATCGATCTATCTATCGATCTATCTATCGATCTATCCATCCATCTATCTATCTATATATAGATACTATGGTTTATGAATGTTTAACATAACTAAAAGGCACCACCTCCTGGATAGTTTCTGGTCATGAGTCAAAAAGACTTTTTTTTTGATATGTGCAAAATGTCTTTCAGTAGTTCCAACTAGTTAATTTGTTCCAAACACACAACAAAGAAAGAAGTCAACACACCTGATGATAGATGTGCAAAAAACAATCTATTTGGAGCCGCGCATTGCCTGTATACGATATGTATCTACGATATAAGTATATACATAATATGGATGTCATTCATTGTAATGCAATCACATTCAATCTACACGATATCTAGTTTTTTTAATCAACATTATATCTTATAATGAAGGTTCATAGTGTATATATTTACAATGCTTGTGCAGTATATCTGCAGTCAAGATTCATAATTCCAACTACTAGATGTTTATAGCCATTCATTGGAGTGTGTAATCAAGTCACTATGATTAAATATGAATATGATATCTATATAGTCATTATAATCCCCATTATACAGTATATCTATAGGCATAATAATTCTACACTATATCTACGGTTCGGTATGAAGGTACAAACAAATATATAATAACAATCAAAAACCAACCATATAGTCAAAAGTAAACTATTTCTACAGATATAATTAAATTATATATATATATATAGACAGATATAGATTCATTACATATATATATATATATGGAGTCACATATAAAAAATACCAGTGTCCATTGCTCGCTAGGATCGATGGCCTGCCAGGTCCTCAATATCCTTCAGCTCGCCTGACAGAAGGCACACACCTCCGCAGCTCGCGGTCGCGTCGCGGAACCCGTGGGGATCTCATGTTGGTAGTTACAGATATGACCCGAAATACCAGTCATTTTTGCACTCACAATCCCATTTATAATTTATATAACCAGAGAAATAACTAGAAATTTATATCCCATTTGTAATTTATATATCCCAGTTATATAACCCACTGTATAATCCATAGAAATAACCAGATATAAATTTTTATAATTGGTAAACAACCATAACATCATAACTGTATCGGGATTAAGGAGAGTTCAGGATTATTTTCTGAGCCATGTGAGAGACTTCTGCCGCCTCGAAACGTTTTCGAATGTCCACATTCAAGGATGCTGATTTCATGATTATATCATTCATATAATATCTGATTTTCTGGAATCTACTCTGCAATAAACTAACATTGCTTAAAGATATATTCCGTATTATTCCATATAACATGATATAACACATGGAAAAACACACATAGAACATATAACATAACTATATTCCATATATTCCATATAACATAACTAACATACACTAACACTAACATAACTAACATTGCTTATTAAGAAAATCTTCGTCTTTTTGTTGGCACCTTGGCTCCAGAGTCTCTCCCAAGCTGGTCCGTCTGGTCCCGACCTTGATGAGGACAATTGGCCTCGGTCACATAGACCCTGTCCCGATTCTCTCTGGCCGGGCCGATGTTGAACCTGAAATGGCTGAAAGGCTGAAATCTCCAGCCACATTGCGGGACTAAAAGGGCGACATTTCCGAAGGGAATGCTCATGGATTTCAACTGGACTTAGCAGTGACTGAAGTGGCAAAACTTGTGAATGGACATGTTGATGGAACACTATGGCGATATGACAAAATATGGGGAACCAACCAGCTATTTGTTGGGTGATATATGCCAACAATACAGGATTTATGATGATATATGATATGTTCAAACATGGGGAATGCCACCAAGAAAATGAACACAACAAAAAGACAATGGAACATAATGATGATCAACCAGGAGATTTTGCCTAGACGAGGTTCAATCAACTATTGGAAATTGTACCCTTCCACCTCTGTTGTACTTATCATTTGTGGAATACTTTTCAAATAATTCTTAGAACGTTGGTTGATAAACCACAGGGCACATGAAAAAAAAATACATCACTAGGGATTTATCAACAATATATATATAATTATTTGAATTTAGGATTATGTTCCAAAAAGTGCTGATTTCGAATTAGTAAAATGCTCTTCCCATGTCTTCCCCATGTCCACCGTGGAACTGGATGGTGGAACTGCAAAACTGGATCCCAGCTTAGGTACCCTAAGTTGCCCTCTGGTAATTCAACATAGCTATTGAAAATGGCTATTTATAGTGGATTTCCCCATTGAAAATGGTGAATTTCCATAGTTATGTTAGTTTACCAGAGGGTAACATCAGAAAACCCAACCTTTCTGTACAAAATCTTGGCCAAACTCTGAAGATTTGATTGGCCAGCTCGCCAGCTCCAAACTCAACCAAGGAGCCAGAAAAGGACTTCTTGCTTGTTCGGCAACACCACCTGAGCATCCCGACTCATTCCCGTCGGTAGCTGCGGATCATGGATTCGTCCGTGATTCCATGATGCTGTTTCAACCAGGTAGTCTAAATATACTCATAGACACTCATTATATCTCATTATATAGATACTCCGCACATATCTATGACATTTGATATATGTTTTCATGATTGCTGTTTTCCGATACTCATAGATACTCCGCACAAGATGAGAGTATCAAACTGCCCAGATTTGTTTTGCTGAACTACCACAAATCTATTGGCCTGGACAGCCCCAAAAGAAATGGCTGTTTAGCATACAATCCATCCCCATTTGTAGCAAAGGATTCAACGTAGTCATCCCTCAGGTTGACCTATTGGGATTCTGCCAGGCTGCTTTTCTCGCTGGCGGCGTGTGCATCTTCCTCGCGTCAAATAGTGGGAGATATGTCGGATATGTGGTGAAGTGATCCTTTTTGCAGAAGAAACGCTTTAAGAAAACACCAAGAACTCGAATTCTTGAAGCATAAGATCATCCAAACATGGAGATCATGGAGCCTTGAAACAGTTGAAGCCATGGGGTGCTGATTAGCTTGGGATCCTTGGGATCCTGGATCATCCTGGATCTGTCACCCTATTGCTTGCGGAGACTTCTGGGGAGGTTGTATACTACACTAATATTATGTAACGTAAATTTTAGTCAGAGCAAAAAATGTTATGGTCACAATCATGCCATTGACTATATATATCCCATGCGGACTCTGCTCAACGGAATAAAAAATAGTCTGTACCTGCCACGTATGTCCCATGATGCCCATGAAGGCTTCGTTGTATACCCCCCACTAACAATTCTGAAGTCATTCGTTTGCTGTCACTTGGCGGTTCACCCGCTAAAAAGGGGTTCTAACCCCAGTTATAACATGTTAATCATCTTATAACTGGACTAATCCTACCCGATCCAGCAACATCTGACCGGGCTTTGTATACTTATACTTGGAGGATCATCCCGGCAAGTGGCGAAAAAAAATCATAAGCCTGGTGATCGTTTTTTCAGTGCCCTTTCAGTTGACCATCCCATATTCCGATTCAGGATGATCTTCCAAGTAGCCTCCTGTTTCTTTAACGTTTACCATCAGATGTGGACTTTAGCCACCCTAAATGTACAGCCAGATCATTTTCCGAATGGCTTTCCCTATGGGTTTTCCAAATCTCTTTGTTTTCCCCCAAGGGTAAATATCATTGTAAAATCATCTAATGATCCAATACGAGTATGATCCATAAATATCCCATGTCATGTATAGATGAGTTTCCATGATTAACCATTACAGTACTAATCAATTACCAACCATTACAAACCACCATCCCCGGCACTCCCAGACCCCATGACAGGGCCCTGTCCTCAAGACTTCGTTGCGTCCCCGGGTCGTCACGGCGTCAGCGACCGTTGCGCTGCTCCAGAAGTGAGGAGCATCGCCATCACCTTGAATTCATGGGAACATCATGTCTGGTTGGTGGTTTTTCGCCACCCCTCTGAAAAATGATGGAGTTAGTTCGTCAGTTAGGATGATGACATTCCCAATAATTATATGGAAAAATAATCCAAATGTTCCAAACCACCAATCAGATGTTATATTGTTGGGAGATGATCCAACAACCATAGAGATCTGGGTATGATCGTAACAAAAACTAAAAGGCACCATTCAAAAGATACCGAATCACAGTTGTGGATTTGAATTCGTTATTGGCAATATTGTGGGACATAAACATAATATGCTGCATAAAGTTGTGTATCTAGATTGGCATCGCTCAAACTTAGGCTATCCATGGAGCCACAATACTGTTGTATGAAACCATTGCCTTATGGAATGTGATTATGTCATTATGTCAAACCCAGTTGCTTGCCAAAATCCTGGCCGTTGGTCATGTCCGAAACCCAACAAAATCACCAAAGTCCCAAGGCAGTCGACATTCAAAACTTTCGAAGTCACACAGTGTCATGGTAGTTATCTTATGTTGTATTATGTTGTACCTCTGGCAAACTAACATAACTTTGGAAAATCACAATTTTTGATGGGTAAATCAACTATAAATGGCAATTTTCAATAGTTATGTATATAGTTATGAACATCTTCATGATTCCCAAGTTCTTGTGCCCTCGTCTTTTCAGCCGTGAAAAAAAACCACCGCGTCACTCAATGTGGATCTCAAAGACCGCCGGGGACGCGCCCCCGCAGGTGTCTCTTTGGACCTCAGCCAAAGTGACTGGATTTTCAAGGTGACGACAAAGTCTCAACATGAAGGATACCCAATCTATGGCCAAAAAAAAGTGAAGATCAGCTTCTAAAACATTGGACAAAAACAGGTCCAAATTTTGAAACCAACAAGCCCAGATGTTCCATGTATATCGACATACTTGACCAATCCATGTGGAAAAGAACTGGGGATATCACCGGCATAATCCATGGGGATATGATGGGATATTGGATCTGGAGAATTCGACCGGTTTTTCACCAGGCCACCCATGACGGATCCATGGTGCTGGTATATTAATGCTAACATCAATGGGGTATGATGGGATCCATGGCACACCATATATATCGCAGCACCATGGATCCGTCATGGCTAATGGAATAGTTACCCACATTCCTAGCTCCAGTGACCGTCGCGAACTGGGTGGCGCTAACTAACCATGCATGTCTAATAGGTGAAACCATCCATGTTTGATGGTTAATCTTCCATTTTCGAAGGTCAACCTTCCCATTTTCCGTTCGTTTGTGGACCATTCTGTGATTTATGATCATTTACCAAAGAAAAATGTCCAGAAATGGTCATTAATGGTCATTTATGGACCATTCTATGAAATTTCGAAGTCGTTGATTGACCCTGAAAAATGAAGTGGCTAACACATGCTAACACTAAGCATTACCAACTTTGTGATCCACTAGTACCGCATGTTTGACCCCTTCCATCCAATGACCATTGTTTACCCAACATTTTAGGCGGTGCTTCAAGAACGTCCTAACATCTTGGGTCCATGTTCAACCAAAAATCACATGGTTTATGATGGTTGATCATCACTTTCCCCATTCAAATGGTTACAAAACCCTATGCATCCCCCAGGGAACACCTCTGCATTTTTGAGTTCAATGGATCCCAAAGTTACCATCTGGTTATTTAACAGTTCGCCATGGAAAGATCCACCATTTTTAAGTTCGGTAAACCATCTATTTCGATGGGCCATCTATACCATGGCTATGTTAGTCATAACCATAGGGTATATCCCATCAAAATCAGCATTTTTGTTGTTTTTTTATTCCCATTAAACCACCATAATAGTGGGTTATATACCAATAATACAACTTGCAGCCATGAAACTCATCTTTCAACATGGCTTCGAAGCTTTCGATCCATTTCTGTCCATCCTGAGAGGCGGCAACATGGCGACCGACCAGAAATTTCCGCCAGCAAAATGGGGCATTGTTCCGCAAGACATCATGGATTTCACATCGATTTAACAATATGAAAATCCAACATGACAAAAAATATATACCATATGATTATATATATATGTGATTAAATAATTAATGGAGTAACATGGGTTAACAAGATTTCCTGTAACTATATGGACTCCCTGGTAATCCAACATGATAATGGGTCACTTCCGTGACATTAGGGCCAGTGTCACTTTTTCATCAGAAACATAGACCCTGAAATCCGCCTGTCCGGTTGGAAAGTTTGCCTTCCAATCCCCATGTCGTGCTTACTCAATGACTTTGCCCGCATAGACACAATTGCTCCCAACACACGCTTGGGGGACTTTTTTTGGTAAAGCAAAATATATGGGAACATCATAGCTGGTTGGTGATTTCAATCCCTCTGAAAAATGATGGACTTCGTCAATTGGGATGATGACATTCCCAATAGATAGAAAGTCATTCAAAATTCCATGGTTCCAGTCACCACCAACCAGATACATCCAGATACCATATCAATCCATATCATACCATCGGTTTCCATCGATTTCCATCCATTGCCCCACCAAATCGTGGCCACAGGCTCCACCAAATCACTACAGCGTTGGATTTCCGTGGGAACCCAGCAGTAGGACGGATCCGGGTCCAAGATGGGAGCCATGGCCGCCATGGCCGCCATGGCCGTGGAAGCGACAGGTTCACGGGGTCAGCAGCCACCGTGCAACGGTCGTTGTTGGACTATGGGAGCTGTCTGCGACTCCCAAACTTTTAAAGATCTGGGCAGAACATCCTGACAATGGTGTCTGTCGTGACCATCATTTTAGGCTACATCTCGGTGGTCCTTAATTGTTTGTCTGGTACGAGTGCTGATGTATCATGTACGGTGTGCAAACAAAACACTTTGTCGTCAATGGATCCTTATTCACATAGCTATGGGTCAAATTTGAAAACTGGAAGTGACATGTCGGGGATTTTGCGACTGTCGGGATCATCCCCAATGTGGTTTTTTACAGCAACATATGGCTGTGAAATTTGGGTACCCCTTTTTTAATGGTGAATACGATTCACATGGACCCAATAAATCTCTGGTTCCTAAGGTTCTTAATTTTGACCCATGGGACCCATATTTTTTGTGAAACATTTTTCAGCCCCGACATGCTGCCATCATTGGCAAACGCCTTGAACCGTGGATGAGAAGGAAATCCACCCAGCAGGCGCATAAGTTTTGGCACAAACATGTTGGAAACATATATGAATTGCATCAAACACATGTGTATAGTTTAAAATATGTGTGTACATATACAATATTATTAATATACATACATATAGACATCATTCTACTATATATATATATAATTATATAATATTATATATATATATGTGTATTCGCGGAGTGTTCCATGGTGAAATTGCCTATATGTGAGTCATCTTGTGGGGGACATGTATCGTTCGTTTTTTCCAATCCTCCAATCTCCGATGCTTGTTAAATCGGTACAGGGCTAGCTTTGAATCTGATCGAACACCATGAAATTCACTTTGTCAGGCTTGCACCAAAAATAGTTCAGATGGATATCAAACATAGAAGTAATGTGCTAAATCTTGAGCAGCAAAAAGATGATAAATTATGATCAATTTACAGTCATAATCCTGAACATTTTGTTAATTGGTTTATTTCATCATATTAACCAACTAGTTCCAGGAGTTACTCATATTTCATCCCATTGAAGGCCAACAAAAAGGGCCATCACTTGACCGGAACCCTCAGCGAAGCGCACCATTTCGCCTGCGAAGCTTCCTCTTAGGCTGACCACGGCCGCCCGAGGCACGCTTCCCGGCTTCCCCACGCTGCGATTGTTTGGACCAGGTTAAGCCCGGCCAAATACTAAAGGGGTCGTCAAGCACCTGCGCGAGGAGATATCTGGAGATTTCAGGATTTTCGAAGGTGAAGAATGGAGGATTGAAACATCCCTATGTTTGATGGTTTTAAATTTGTATAAATCCCTAGCAACCAATCCATCGCTAGCAAATGGGACTATGACTTTTGGATATTTGAATCAATGTGTTGTCCTGTTCAAAGGGATTTATAGGTATAAACCGACAATTGATGGGGATATATGGGGATATATCATAGGCTTTATAACCAACAACTTGGGCGAACATAGTTCGGAACGCTGTGGTATACGATTTACCATCAGTTCAGTGGGGAGCGCAAGGTGCACCTTCTATGATTTTCCATCCGGAAAGGGACATCTATGATTTCAATACCTCACAGTTTATATAGAAGTCCTTTCAGGTTTTCCAGCACTTCCATGACTATGATGACCAGAGTGCAAATCAACATGTTACTGGTGAAGTTCCACTTTGTTTCCCCATTATTTATCCTTGGTAATTAATGCTTAGCAAACATCCCACCAAATGGTCACCAGGACCTTGTCCCCTTGATGGGACCCATCCCTGCGAATCCGCTGAAAATCATCACTTTCCCTGCGACGACTAGAGCGATCCATTGATCCAACATATTTCCGAAAAGAACATCTGTGTGGATCCATAGGAATATATATAGAACACATAGATGGTAAAATCATAGTATTAAAATATCCATGTGGTCAATGTGGTCATGGTCTTCAGACCGGCCACTTTTCAACATGTTGATGGGGAGCATCTGTTTTCGCTATGCCTTCTGGTAATTTAACAGTGTGCGATGGACATTCAGCATATTTAATAGGAAAATCATCTACAAATGGATCGTTTTCCATTGCAAACTGCTCATTATAAGAGGGTATCATCCTCATTGTTGCTGGTTAAATTCCGATAAGTCACATTCATGTCCACTACATTCGACTAAATCCCTATAGTTGATAGTACAAGTACCTTAAATAATCATCATTGATCAATTATATCTATATATTCTTGCTAGTTATAATATGTTATAATTTATAAGCCCTATCGATGATAGATATAATGGTTATAATTCCTATAGATAATGGTTATAATCCGTATACATGATGGTTGTAGTTTGTATACCCTTCAGAAATTTAACATATCTATGGACAGTAGCCCATTCATAGATTTCTGATTACACATGTTCTTATGATTCCATAGCTATATGTTAGATTACCAAAGGGTAGTTGATGCTTACATTTCTAATTACAATCTATAGTCCATCTAAATATTGGTGATAATCCCATAACATCCCTATAGATAATGGTGTTCATCCCATGTACTCCCTATAGATAATGGTAGAAAAATCCTTTACTTGATTCGATGCTGAAATCCAACTAACCGCATTTATAAGTATCATATTTATCGGTTATAGACAATGGTTACAATGCCATAATTCCCTATAGTTCATGGTGCAAAATCCAAATCTATAGGGAATATATGGGATTGTCTGTGGGGATTATAACCATTATTATTATTATCTTTATGGTTGAGTTCTTTCACCTATTATTATACTGTACCCATTACTATTGTAGTCCACTACAATCATTATCTTTTGAATCTTTGAACATGATAATATATAATCCCTAAAAATGATGCTTGATATTTTTCATCCCGAATAGTTCATGATTGCACCATTGTTGGACCATAACCATTGTTATATGGGATATCAACATCGACAAGGATTATAGCCACTATAATAGTCTATAGTCTATATCCAATATATTCATATATATTCAACCATTATTTGATTATCCTTATAGTTGTATAATGCGTATTAATCTCATCTTCCCCCCATGTCGACATATTCGATATCCCCCGACTCGTCAAATCGTCCAAGGCGCACGGTCTTGCCAGCCCGGATTTTGGGCAGCCGACTTGGGTCTCAGCCTGGAGTTGCTGGTGAAAATGGGCCAACACAATTTGGACAACAGGGATTTCTGTGAGATTTAAAAGTATTTATGTAGGGTTGATGTGGAATTTATATGGGTTTATGTGGACTGACATAATGATATTGATATGGGATTATATGGGTTAAAAGAATTGTTTTCTTGATGATGCTATGTAGTTTTTTCTTTTTTTGGATAGTTGGATTATTTTCAGTTGGATTATCCCTAAGCAGTTGACCCACTTATGGGTCAAGGAGATAGGATAGGTCAGCAGCTCGACCTTTTGACCGTCGCTGTGTGTTGGGCTGGTCATCCAAGGTTGGTTGGTAATATACTGTTAATATATGGTTAATAAACTGTTACTAATATGGTTAATGATGGTTAATAATCTGGTTGGTGTTTTTTCGCCCTAGCCCTCTGAAAAATGATGGACTTCGTCAATGGGGTTGGGATGATATCCCATAGATGAAATGGAAAATAATTTGAATACCCTCTGGTAAACTAACATAGCTATGGAACATGGCCCATTTATAGATGATATCCCATAGATGAAATGGAAAATACAATTCATGTTCCAAACCACCAACCAGTTTATGTCTGTCGGAACTCTGAAAACCGAAAACCGCAAGTCCATCTTTGTCCTTCGTTTGACGCCTTCTCAACTAATCCAGCTTCGTGGATTCGGGGGTTTTCAAGTTGCTGTGGGCCGATGTGCACATTAATCATTTTGGGTTCATGTGACGATGAACATGGGACGATTTCAGCGGTGATCACGAAAAAATGATGAACAAACGAGCGGTTCCTTCCAAGCGATGAAGCTCAGAACCTTATCAAAATTGTCTAGTTGGAGTCTCAGGAAAATCCAGATTTCAGGTCTCCCTGCAGAATATCCCAAGAACATCCATGGGATCTTGAGTTGTGAACTACTCATGCCTGATCATTTGAATCGTTGAAACTAGAGAGATGTGATGAACCTATCAAATATCCTGATGCAAAATTTGGGTCCATATGTTTCCATGCTTAAAACAGCAAACAAATCACGATGTCAAACATTGGGCACCAAAGAATGGGATAAAATACGGTAGTAACACTACATCCCCATCAAGGTGGCCCTCCAGTTATAGGTTGCTTCATTAAGTGTATATATAATAAATATATATATATATTATATCTATATATAATTATATATATATATAGATACAATTGCCATAAACATCCATAAACGATAGTTATTAAAATTATTCACCAACCAGGCGCTAGCTAGGCTAACCAGGGAGGCCCCACCTTATAATTATAACATAATTATACTATGTTTTCTTGGCACATTTCGCCGTAAATGATCAGCATCTCCAACAGCCGCGCCTGAAGTACAGATTGTATCTCGTGTTCCCACTCCTGCGCCCGGGTCGTCGGAATCCATTGGAAAAAAGGCGAAGGTCTTAGGCATCCCTAAAGGTTCATAACCGAAGATATCTTCCAGTCTCACATGGTTCTTTTTACATTTTTTACTTAATTTTCTTGAAAACATAGCCCATTCCTAGACCCACGAAATGGCTATGGGCTATTCCCAAAAGCCGAAAACCCAAAATCGGGAACCTCCCATGACCTCCCCAATGTCATATCTGAACTGAGTTCCTCTTCAAGTCTTGCTTTTGGACATAATCCTCATTAATTCACCCCTTCACAGTCAGGGTGCCCGCTGACTTGAACCCAGATTTGGTCAAGTCGCTAGAGCCGCTAGACCTTTGAGCTAAGTTTCCAATTGTATAGCTGTAAATCTTAAATAGACTACCACTTGACAATGCCCCATTAAATGACAGGTTTGCAACCTTATGCAACCTATTTAAATGTTGAACTATAAACGGAATCTGTGGAAAATTACCACAGATTCTGCCAATGTCCCAATTGTTCAGCCAATCCCATGCCTATATCCCTATCAACTGTTGATTGTTTAATGGGGGTTTGCCTTCTTCTTTTTCATCTGCGTAGCGCCAAATGTCTGAAAATGGGATAGCACCAAATGTAGGCATCACCATTTTAACCTTTGTACACTAGGTATTCCATATTCCCATTTTCAGACACACCAAAATGAAACAAAATTAATGTCAACCCGGGATAAATAAACCATGGTTTATTCATTAGGGGGGGTACTCCTCCAATAGTGATACTTAAATGGTACCCTCCCAACTAAACAGCCGTAAACGGGCTTTATTAATCCAGGGTTGACATTATGAAGCACCAACCAGCCATCTGTTGCAACCTGGGCTCCCAAAATCCTAAATCCTAACGCCACCGCTGGGAGCCCCGGGCGACGCTGCCGACCAGGACCAGGGCCCCCCACCAATTCTGCGAGCGTCGGTGAGCGAGCAACGGATGTGCCACCTCTGCCACGAGCAACGGGAACCAGGAAGAAATCACTGGATTCAGCCATCAAAAAATGGTGGTGTGACATGTTTTTCATCAAGTTTTGGAGGATTCAACATGATTCAACCATTAAAAAATGGAGGATTTCACACACGGACATGATCATATTCTCAATGTTACGTAGTAATTGATTGGTTTCAGGGAAAATCTATGCTTGAAACGTTGGTGTCTATATAACCCAAGGTGGGTTTCCGGACTCAATTTTCCTATAAACATCCATAAACCAAAAATGCTAAGTTCGTTTTTTGATAACCCCCCCAGAAGGTCTAGATCCATGAGAAGGTTTTCAACCCCCGAATAATGAGCAGCAAAACCCAAAATGGAATTCATGATGAGGTCAAAAGGCTTCAAAACCTAAGGGGCTGGGAGTGTTCTTTGATTGGGGCTGCACATGCACATGATTTGGGGGGTGCAAGCCACCAAAAGGGGTAACCTTTATGATCTTCTTAAACTGCAATTTTTAAAAGGAAAGTAATAAGGAAAATGCAGCTCTTTTTCAATCAGATATTTTGAGATTTTAGATTCCGGGGATTCAGCGAGATGAGTGCTGGAAAAATGCAGCAATGAGCTGAATGGGACAGGGGGGAAAGAGAAATATGAGCAGCACCCATGAGGAACATGATTAGCAGTTTGTATCAGCCAGCACCAGAACCATCAGGTCAGAAACATCAGAACCAAATCACTTTCTCACCACCAAACAAATTAGGATTTTCCAGACGGGTGTGTTTTAATAGGGGGTGACTACCCATGTTGATTAATAGGAAGGGACCAACCCAAAGTAGTATTGCCAATATTTTTGAAACTGTTGGTGTTGATTCATTCGGGGATGCTTATGAATATGAACTTAAGATTAGTGGAAACACTTCACACTTGGTTGTTTTAATGTTTGATCTCTGTTAGAGGCCAAAATGTATGGAGTTGATCCCCCTCAAGTTAGAGTTTTTAGCTGTGATAAATCACTGGATTTTAAGTGGTGCCCATATGGTGCTCAAAAGCCTAGTGCCCAAATGGTACCCGTTTTGCTGGGATCTATGGCTCTTCCCCCATATGTTAAGTTGGTAGCTTGACCCCCACATGTCAAGCTCAATTTGGGCCCAAAAATCACCATGATCGCTGAAGCTTGGAGATTGGCAATCTCTGGTATAGACTTGCTGGCGATCTTCCCTCGATCTCTTGATGATAGCCCTTTCTACCGCATCATTTATTGATGGTTCATTCCTTGCATGTGCATCCCGCTCCATTGGTGCTGACGCACAATGTCTTTTTGCTGCTCAAATCCCGTGTTTTACTGGCAAAGTCCCTTTATTAAGGCCTGGTTCAAATCCTGATTTCGTTTGGGAAATCCTGCCCAAATCCCTTTCGACAGTTCCATCACCCCATATCTGCAACCACAGTGCCATGATTTCTCCCTGCTGCAACAACACCGGGACGCTTTCGCCGAGATCCAGTTTGGGAATCACGCCTCCGGCAGGAGTGGATCTTTTTGTTAAGGGTGACATGGAAAGAAATGGAGAAATCTGGGAGATGATTGGAGATTTCTTAGACATTTCTGAGAGATTTGTTAGAGATTTCGTGAGACATTTCTTAGTAGAACGCTGAACGTTGGTGATGATAGACATTTCTTATAGTAGACAAATCCAATGGGAAATTACTTTTGAGCTATAGCTAGCCATAGCCTCAGGTTCCGAATTCCAGAATTGTCTGAATTCCACATGTGTTCAACGAGTGCCAAATGAATCCGACCGGCCTAGATATTGAGCTGTGTACTGGTTGTGAAGCTCCTTATTTCCTTGGCCGAGGGTCCAAATTTCCAAGTGGAAGGGCCAGAAAACAAGGGAGCCAAGTTCATGCCAGAAAAAAACAAATGCAGGGCATGACCTATGTAGAGATCAAGGATGTTCCATTGTATTGTTGTGTTTGATGATTGGATGCTATAAAGGTTGGTTTCAAGAAATGCAAAAGAAACATTAAAAATAACACCAGGGGCGCATAGCAACCATCTCAACTCGGAACGCAGAAGCCTAGCTAGAAAACGAACAATGCCCAAAACTGTGGGGCCATAGTAGGGATATACATGGGATTTAAGCAACAATTTATACAGGGTATGGGTTCTACAATGCAGTCATTCATTGAACAACTCAAAACCAAGTCAAATCATGTAACCATGTGAGGCATGAGTTTGTGGATACTGTTTAACCTGTTTAACTATTTCCCTGCATTTCTTGTGTTTTTGGTTGGAATCACTTGTTGTTTGGTACTGTTTTTCTCCAAAGCAGGGAAGACGTGTTAAGCTGAACGAAAACGCGCCATGTGAAGCAGGCCTTTCAGAAAGATCGTTGCCAGAGTGAGGAAACCGTGGAAATAAATGGAAATAAATGGAAATCCCTTCCCCTTATGTTAAAGACTGTCAAGACATGACTCTTCAAGTTTTGGTGCTGAAGTGAACCTGAATATCCACGACATCGATCCATCTGGCGCCGTCCCGGAGGTGCCCTATCGGTGCCCTATCTGCCCAGGGGCGATGAGAGGCAGGGTGACAGGTGAAGGCACCCCAACACTTAGTGTCTGCGGGTGGAGCAGACAAAGCGATTCCCAGCAGGACGCCAATGTTGTTCTGCAAGTTTCCCTTAGCGGAACTGCCAGGAACCCCGAGGTTTTTTTGCTAACATCTTGCCATTTGACTGGTCAAAACCAACCCAACATAAGGCATCATTTGAGTTTTTGTTACAGGAATGATCATATCTGCATATCAGAAATGTACGAGAAAAATAGCAGAACATAAGTCAAGGGAAACCATTTGCAGCTCCCATGTTCCCATGGTTTGATGATGATTTCAGCTGGGATGGATGTTTTTTGGTTATTTGTGGTACGAATATATCATCAGAATCAGGACCCGAGCAGATCCTGGGTAAGCAAGGGAAAACATGAATAGGCATAACTTTAATAAATAGACGACTAGATAAAGTGCCCCAGCATACTCCACCTCCTTCAAGCAAACATATCGAAATCCACCGGTCACCCAGCTTTGTCCTTCCCAAGTCCCCATTTCCTTAACTGTCAAATCCTCGTTGCATATCATATTCCCATTATATATATCCCCGATCTCCATAAATTGCTTGACGTTAAACTTTAAAGATGGGATATCATGGATTATTTTCAATGCATTTGGGGATAGAACTATTATAACAAAGCGTCTGGACCTTGACATGGGTATGGGTCAAAATTGGGCACGGTGAAACCACTGTTTAAGAACCTACTGCAATAAGAACTTCAGGGGCTGGATTGCTGGATTCAACCTTTTCTGTCAGCTAAATAATTGAAGTAAGAGCCTTAGGGCACCTTGGATTTCTAGCCACTGGGTCTTATTCCCCTTTAACGCGTACAAATATACCAAACATATTGATATTTCTTAAGCCTGGTTGGACGGAAGGACTTCTTTTTCCCCTTATGAGCGGGAACATCCAACTCATGTACTGCAGGTAAAGAACTCAAGAAAAGCTAAAGCTGAATCCATGTATGTTCCACATAGTGCAAGGCGCCCAGTGGGAATCTATCTCCCAACCTCCTGCTTGCTAGGCTGACTCTCTACCAACTGAGCTATTGACTCTCTGGCCTTGGTGTCTGCCAACCTTTTGTCTAACGTTTTGCCCTATTTTTCTCTATGGCTGCGCAGCCGCAAATCCCTTTCTGCATGTGTTGGCGCTGTGGTCTTCAGCCCGTGCTGCCTCTTTTTTGGAAGGCTGCTCTGTTTTGGATTCGCTGCTTGCAGAGCCGTCTCTGGAGGCACTATTTCCACATAATTCTAAGTTGGGACATTACATAGCACGGATTTGCAAAACCCTGACCATATGAACCCCTTAAGAACTAACCCGTTCAGAACTTGAGGGTACCCTCGTTCATAATTCCCATATGTTCCACCTATAGCACTTAAGAACCCCAGGGTAGGCTGGAAAACTCTGAAAATCTGTGGTCTCCAAGGTCTTGCCCTTGACCCCTTAGCTGCCCCATGCTCCTCCAAGTGGCTCTACCGTCCACGTGGTACGAGAACTTGCCACGACCTTGCCACGACCAGTGATGTTTCAATGTAGCGATTTATGACCAATAAACAGGCCAATAAACAAACAACTATTGGAATTAACCATGTCAGACGTTTTTTTTTTCGGCTTTCTGTATTTAGTTCAATGGTTATGGCAAAAACATGAAAAAATACCATACATTTCCGGAACTATTGGAATCAGGACCATCTTTGAGGAACCATTAGACATGCTAAGGAATTACTGAACTAACAAAAAGGAAGCAGTTGAGAACATTGAATAAACAGGCTGGATAAGTTCAGTATTTTAAGGAACCCAGTGCTTCAAATAGCACCTGAGGTGTTTAGAGCCTCATTTTGGATCGATTACAAACATCATCTTCCCTCTGGTCATTAAACGTAGCAATTGAACAATCCTCCGGTCAAAAATGGTGCCAACGTATGGGGGAATCATCGAACTAATGGGGAATCATCGAACTATATAATTGTCTATTTCTTTAACTGAGGGGATTTTCCAGCAACCCATGTTTGATTTGCCAACTTCGATAGTTCTGGGGCCCGGTTTTCGGCTCTTGTTGGTAGATGTTCGGGGTAAGATGCAGAACATGGATTCCTGGTATGGAAAAGCATCCAAGTTGACTCATGTTCCTACACCGAAAAAAAAACATGTCCAACATTGGGATTACTTGCTTTGTCTACCAAAGCATCTAGGTAGCTCTGAAAACAGTGTGTATATGTCATAATTATGTATACATATACATTTAAACAAAATACAATGGTTGATCATCATTTTCGCCATTAAAACACATTTCTGGACAAACCCATTCAGAATATGTTTGGTCTAATCCCTATTTTCTTGATCAATCTCACTACGGGTTTCCATCAACCGCAATCTCTTTGTGGTTGCAAACAAAATTAAATATGTTCTTCTGATTAAGTCCACTTATTGATAATTAAAAGCAATATAAAACCACCATTCAATCTAATCAATGCATCAATACTGCCATTTTGCTCGAATCACCCATATAGTTCACAAACCAATGTGTTATCGACATGCTACTAGTTTTATACCCAAATTTGTAGGGTTTTATAATTTTCTTATTTGGTGGTTCATCCCTCTTAGTGAGTGGGTTATAACCCCAGTTATAAGTGGATTAAGCCTATCCCACTCAAAAAACTAGTGTGAACTAATCCACAAATACGATTCGTAGGATGAACCACCATTACAAACCATTACCAACCATTACTTGCTATCATTTCCGTTGAATATCCCACTACCAAACACATTATTAAGCATATCACAATTAATTTGGAATATATCATGACAATGACTAACCAGTACTTACCATTACTAACCACTAGTGATACTTATTTGTCTATATTCAACCATTATTAACCATTACTAAGCAATGGTAAAAACCCTGGTTTCCTGCAGATGTCCCAACAAAACCAATCCTGGTTGTGGTTTTAACCATCTTGAAAAATATTAGTCAATGGGAAGGATTATTCCCAATATATTATGGAACATAAAAAATATTTGAAACCACCAACCAGAATCCAATGATTGCCATTTGTTGCTCTAAACCCCACCTATCACCACGAGTTGCGACCCAGCGAGTTGCTATCAGCTCGACCAAGATAGTCCTTCTCAGCTGGGTCGCCGTCCTTGGCACGAGGGCTTTGCGAAAGAAAAAGGCTGGACGGCTGGACGGCTAAGCCAGAAAAAATGGGTGGTTAACTATGGTTTATGGTAGATTTATGGTAGATATATCATGATATATCTATGGTTATCTACAGTTAATGCAATCTTAGTTGGACGGTAAGCCATGAACAATGGATGGACAGTGTGCGCCAGAGCTCAACACATGGGTCCAACGGGTAAATTGTCCAGGACGCTATCCCAGCTAGGGTCTGATGTTGACCCACACCCAAGGTTGCTACAACGACCACCTACCTTGACACATCTTGACACTATCCACAAATTGGGCTGGGATAGAATCAAAATGTGAAACCCATTGTTGTTTACCATGTGCGTAGCGAAAATCTCCATTTTGAAGAACTTGGTTTTCCTAGTAAACACCCCGATTCTACAACCAATCTGCCTGGGTGTCCCAAACTAAAACCACCAACATATTTTACAGTCACAAACTTGCAATGAAAAAGCGAAGCCCGGTTCAGCTGGGTATGAGATTCCCAACATACTGTGGATGGTTGCGAAATCCTGCACCACCAAACGGATGGTTGAAACCCTGTAAATAATGGGATAAACATGGATAAACCACCTATCAACTGGTGCAGGATTTATTCCATTCACAGTCACCCATTTTCACCCTTCACAGCTGGCATCTGGTGGTAGGATTGCAAGTTGGACGCAGTTGGGTATCTCCACATCTTCCTTTCTGGGAGAGTGCAGCCGATGGATTGAAGGGAAGAAATACAGGGAACCATGTTGTTTTTTGAGATATATGATATATATATATATAGTAATCACAAAAAATCAAAACACAGTAACTTGTCACTATATCTTAGTACGTTTTTATTTCACTATCTTTTTTGGGGATTATCAGAGGGAGTCCTGTGCATTCAGAGTCTTTTTCCCTTCAACGAATTCCGGGTCTTGGTACCCGAAGTGACGGGATCCCAGGATGTTTCCCAGCAATTTCCACGTTGGATCTTAAGCATCTGGGATGTGAAATGATGCAGCGCGAATGGCCAGGAAAATGATGACTTTCCATCTATTTGAGGGCACCATATATTCAGACAAAGCCATTTTCCAGCTTTCATGTAGGATTTTCAGAGACATGTGTTCTATTCCGCGGCCAATCCTATAACCCCACAAGAAAGACGCTGCGTCTTTGGCAGGACAGCCCCCGTCGTTCCTCAACGAATAGCGCTAAAAACCATATGGGTTTGTCTGAAATGGGAAATCCCAAAAATTCATTGGCTTACCCTCTGGTAAACTAACATAGCTATTGAAAATGGACATTTATAGTTGATATACCCATTAAAAATAGTGATTTTCCATAGTTATGTTAGTTTACCAGAGGGTATTATCATGGTTCCCATGAAACTGGCCAAAACTGGGGGTATACCGGTATACCCCATTTTCAGACATTGATGGGTCTGTATCCCAGCGTATCCCTATCCCACAGATGGATGGATTCATAGAATCTGGTTTAATAGCCATATGGGCTTATTATAACCTGGTGAAAGCTGTACATTATAAACCCGTTGACAATTTGTTTTGACTGATTTCATTCACCTACTTGGAGTTGCATCCCAATTATTCAGTGGGTAGCCATATCATAACCCAGTTCTACATGTGGAATATCGCCTGTTGTATATTGTTTGTTACAGGGTTTTAAACCATGTGCAATGCCGGGAATGCACCCCCAAGTACCATGCCAACATTAATTCCTTTTTAGAGTGATGTTGAGGTTAAACTGCGTAAAACAGGGACGGGGGTCACATTCGCCCCTAAAAGAGGGTCACATTCGCCCCTAAACCAAAAGGGGTCACATTCGCCCCTAAACAACAATAATTTAAATATGTTACTCAACCCTTTAGGGTTTAACCTGGGGACAAGGGGACTTTTAGGGGGACTCGGGTTTAGGGGGGGACATGGGGGCATATGTTGACTTGTCTCTCTATTCCATATGTTACTCAACCCTTTAGGGTTTAACGTCTTCGAAGTTGCTCGAGATGGATGTTACAACGTAGGAATGGTACACCGTAGCATGATAGTGTCCTGGAAGTTGATTGAACTGGCTGTTGGAACGTAGCATCCGAGGCGTCTTCCAAGTTGCTCGAACTAGATGGTACAACGTAGCATCCATAGTGTCCTAGAAGTTGATTGAAATGTCTCTTGGAAGGTAACATCCAAAGCGTCTTGGAAGTTGCTCGACATGGATGTTACAACGTAGCAATGGAACACCATAGCATGCATAGTGTCCTGGAAGTTGATTGAAATGGCTGTTGGAACGTAGAAAAACACGTGAATATCACTCTCTAGGGTGGAAAAAATCCTTTTGAGGCTCTGAAACTATTGCGCCTGCCACGCAAAAGCAGGGGTCACATTCGCCCCTAAACGAGGGTCACATTCGCCCCTAAACCCACTTCATCCCCCTTCATTTAGGGGCAAATGCGACCCAAGATGGTTTAGGGGCAAATGCGACCCCCGTGCCCGTAAAACATATGATACCTTGATGCATGAAAGAGCATCAGCTCGTATCAACTCCATTAATAGCCGAATGTTATGATATCTGAAAAAGCATAACATCTAGCTGCATAATAATTCACTAACCATCTAAACATATCTGAAATATCGCTTTTGGGGATGCTTTCCTTTACCACGATTCCAGTGAAGCGTACCATTCACCAACAGAAATCTGCAGCGGCCCTAAGAACCTCCCCTCATCGTCCTGCAGCAATTGCTTCACTAAAGGGAGCAGCATGGACAAGATCTCCTGGCAGGTCATGTTTTTAGGTGTTCTGCTGAGCCGGACATGTGGTTCCTTGAAGTTCTTGAAGAACTCAAGGTTATAACACTATATACCACTAATAGTGGTTACAATGAACAAAAACATTGACATTGGCTTTATAACAAAGCTTATTATAATGATTCGTGAAAAAAAACATCCATTGAAAGACTGCTCGGAGCCAAAAGGAAACATCTACCAGTGAAGGGTGCTCTTCCGCATGGTTGTCGCACATCAGATTCAGCTAGCAGTTTGGAAGATGACTTTTCAGCGTTATATTAAAGTTATGGTTATGGAATGTTATGAATATTTTGCAGGGTTTATCTTGAGCAGTACGTTTGTCTTGGCAAATAAAAGTCTCTCGATTTTGCAGGTGCACTGTCACATTGAAACTTCGGTCATGGCGTGACGTCAGGTGATTGAGACGGACAGGTCCAAGCAGCATTGCGGACGTATCCCTACAATGATAATGCGGCCTCATGATCAGCACGCACCCCATGACAACAGGGGGTTTTATACAATGGACCCACACATATTTTCTTAATTTTCTCATACCAATCCATCCAATTGTGCGGACTGATAGTGATGAGCCACAGCATAAGTGGTTTATCCCCTGGATTTTCAACCCCCTGTGGGCTTGACAAAGGGTTGTCTGAAGGCTACCCATATAAAAACTGTTTATAACCAGTTTCCCGTGCAACTGACCATACATTGGGTATATATTTATTAGTGTATAACCATTATTATGGGTGTATAACCATTATAATATGGGTGTAAAACCATTATTACTATACATTGGATATGATATTATAACCATTGTTGGGATCATCCATCTTTTATATCATATTATTATACATATATAACCATTGCAGTATTAGCATTATTATAACCACTATTAGCATATCATTATTTATAACCATTATTATTACATCTATTATCTTATCTATCTTATCTATCTATTATCTGCGATTGTATACAGGATGGGGCCCTCCAGTTATGTTTGTTGGCTTATAACCCCATCTAAATATAGTTATTTGAATGTTATTTGCGTATCATACACTATTGTTATGTCATGGTTATAAGCCAACCTAGCAAACTGTGGGGCCCCCATTCACCTTACCATTGCTGGGATCGTCCATATGTCGGGATCTCCTGGAAGGGTTCAGCCTTGGCCAGCTTGATGCGCACGTTGCCGCATCCTGGCGGAACGGCAACGTTAGATTCACCAGGGTCTATATAGATATGTATCCAAGATATAAATATGTTAAAACGAACATAGATACATAGATAGATTAGATAGATAGATGGATGGATGGATGGATAGATAGATAAGTCCAATTTTAGTTCAATCAAAACTCCTCACATCTTATGTGTGTGTATATATATATTATAGGGGTAAGCCAATGATAGACTTACCTTTAGGGTATAGGTTTTACCATCCATTTATGGTGATTTCATGTATATGTAGAATATTATTCCATATAATATAGATAAGTTCAATCACCATGTTTGGTTGGCTAAACCCCCATATCTAATATACAGGTACATATATAATCTTCATCATTCTGAAGTAGGTAGATGTAAAGGAACGTTTCAAGAAAACCAGGAATAAGTTTGAGAAATGTACTTGGATTTGATTCATGAACCCCCAAAAATAAAACCTATTCCCTATAGATTCCCCAAGTTGATTTCTGATTGGGAAAACAAAACTAATATTCAGCAAATCCACATATATATACACACATATGCATGTCATCCCGAAGTAGATACTCGGTGGAGAACAAAGGATATTTTGAGGAATACAGGAGAATCCTATTCTATATACTCCAGGATGACTCTATATATATACATATACGTACACCTCTGTGTATATTGTTCAAGCAGTATTTTTCAGAACGCCCAAGAAATAGTGCTGCTGAACCGTGGTCCCAAGCAAGGATGGAAAATCAGACATGTTCAAAATGCCACAGCTGTATTTGTTTAAAACGACAAACCATTCTGTATGTTCTTATAATCATGTTGGAGAAGATAGAATATGGACATTTCCAAAAATCCTCATAAGACTGGGAATATCATTGAATTTCCATATTCTATCTTCACATCCTGACTATCTACCCCTTTTTGATGATGTTTCAGTCCATTTCTTGGTAAGATATCCAGCAATACCCTCTGGTAGTTTAACATAGCTATTGAAAATCACCATTTATAGTGGATTTACCTACTATAGATGGTGATTTTCCATAGCTATTTTGACATTACCAGAGGGTATGATCATAAATTCTTGTTCGAAACCTAGAGATCAATTTATCACCGCCAGCCCATTCCATCTGAGACGATCTCAAAATCCTTGGGAGTCGCAGAAACATCCCAAACATCCCGAAAATCCCCAGCCCATCCACATCATCCACCATCGCCTAGTGAGCTGCTATCCAGGTATGGTTCCACCCAGCTGTTTTGGTGGCCCAACAGCATGTTGGCCATGCCCGCGACCAACATCTGCGACCTTAGACGAGATTTCTGCTGATTTTGGATGTAACTTCGCGGTTGTTTGTTTAATACATATATCATATAGATTCGTATTATATTAAATAGCCGGGTGGCTTGTCATACCTTGTCATAATCTTGACCGGATCATATATTATACAGTAATTTTCTTAGCCTTATTTGATACTATGTATATCTATATACATATAAATATAATGTTCATGATTGTCCCAATACTACGCATCATGGTGTTGGAAGATGGATATTCATCTTCCAACACAAAGCCATGGGGTCCTAATCTGCGGATGCACATCTCACCGGCCACAAACATATTGCTGAAGCCCAACTTTTGCCCAAAGGCCAATGACAAAACCTGTTTCAAACCCAACTGTTGTTGTCCAGTTTTGCTGCCTACACCCACATGTTCGACGGAACAACCTAAAGAATACAATTTTGAATATCAAAAACCATCAAAAACTCAGCATTTGGAATGTATTTCGATGGTTAAGCCATGTTAAGTAGCTACGTTTAACTCACGGTTCTTCATGCCTCCGTTCCGTCGATTTCATCGCCGAGGGACAGTCGAAAGGCGTTGCGGACGGCCTCGCCAAACGCCCCCGTGGGTGCCAGCACCGTATAACCTGGCGGCGGCTGGGCGCTTTTTGGCTTTTCGGATATTCATGTGGAGATAATTGTGGATGGTAATTCCCATCGACATATAATGTTCATCATCAATATTTTGGGGAAAATTCCATATATTGAATAACATAACATAAATGAACATAACATAACATAACATATCATTCCATGTTTGAATATGTTTGAATAACATAACATAAATGAACTGAACCACTTGAGATGTGCGGATGGTCAAGTTTAAGCCATAGGATGGTCATCATCTAGTCAACCTGCCGGTGGCCCGGGGCACTATCGTGTCGCTTGCGAATAGGGTTACAGTACAACTTCCGAGAACTGCTGGCTTTTATCATGTTTTATCAGTTTGAACCAAAAAAAAGTGTGGACTGTCACGGAATTCGAAGGACTAGAACATACCTTCAATGAGAAACACGCCCCCAACAAATCCGGTTTACCAGTGGGTCAGTGAGATGGATTGACCCTTCAATTTCTGGTGGCAAAACGCTGATTTCATGTGGAAAAAACATTCCTATTGGGGGTTCTTAAAATTGGGAGGTTCCCAAAAACCATGGCTTTCAATACGAAGTCATGGCCGAGCTTTGGATCTGGGATGATGGGCGAATGACAGGGTCGGTTGTTCACTCATGGATTTGTTTTAGGAAAATTGGTTCCCAACTGGGATGCATGTCCAAATATGTCCAAGTACCCTGCGGCCCATGCCCTGCCTTTGTCATACAATTCTTCCATATCTGAGGGACTCAGCAAACTGCCACCCGGATAGATCGCAATCTGGCGCGCTGGCCGTGTTGGGTTTCTGGCGAGGACTGGGGTTGAACCAATAAACAACGTGTAAATATTGACCCTATTAACCATGACAAATGGGTTGGTCATCGGACACACATCGAATTTCGAATTCATTGGTGCTCCAAATTTGGATCCCGCCAAACCAGGTCATTTCTTCCAAACTATGAACAATTAACTCTTGGGCGGTTTTGGCGGGATTATCCGAAACATCCCAACATATCCCAAAATTTCGTACCGCAGGATGCAGGATTTGATGTATTGTTGTCCTTCTACAAAGAAAGTGCTTGTTCCCTCGCGCAGACCTTGTCAGTCAACAGAATCCAGCACAAATAAACAAATAATTACAGCGATTCATCTCATGTTTCCCGCCCCCTTTGAGGTACCCCTATGTTTGACACATCGGCCCAGAATTTGTTGCAAAACGACCATGTTTGATGGTTTAAAATCAACCTTTTTATTTGGTTAAATCATTTTATATAAGTTAAATCCGTTCTTGAGGAGGAACAAAGTTGATGTTTTTGAAACCTTTACATCCATTTGAGTCACGCACGGATCACATTTCGAAGTCCATTTCGCGTAGAATGCGTCCGAAGTACGGCTCCATGCAAGGATTCTAAGGGGAAAGAGTGTATGTAGGAAGAAATCCAGCATATTCTGCTAGTGTGTTGATATTGTCTGCAATGTAACCCGGATTGTTGTGGATTCAATCCTCATATTTCGTGGGCTCCAAATGTTTGCTGGTTGAATCCCTATATTTTTCTTGGTTTCAACCACCATGCTTTTTTTTTGCAGGATACATCACCATCTTTGTTGGTAAACTCTAAATTTCCATGGCTTCAATCATCATGTTCTGCCTAAAATCCCCGGTTTTTCTTGGCAAAATCCGCTTGATCCGTCGCCTCCGGGCCACCTGCGCCGTAGTCCAATTCATCATCGGCACCGTCGGTGTTGATCCCGTCACCTCCATAGATCCTCAGTTCTTGTTGTGGTTTGACAAAGAAAAAAACCATTAATTGGACAAGCACTAAACTGTGATTCGGTATCATAATGATCATAATGTGTTTTTTTTTGTTTTTTTTAATCACATCTTACATTAGTGCAAAAAAGGATATCATATTTGATGGTTTTTCGTATTACATTATGTGGCTTGGATATGATCATATATCATATGATAATTTATCATACTACATCATTTTTGATGACAAGCACTGAATATGGCTGGTTGGTGGTTAATATACTGTTAATAATGGCTAATATTAATGGTTATAATGATGGTTTTCATGATGGTTAATACTAAACTGGTTGGTGGTTTTTCGCCATCCCTCTGAAAAATGATGGAGTTAGTTCGTCAGTTGGGATGCTGACATTCCATTCCCAACTGAATGGAAAGTCATAAAATTCATTAAAATTCCATGGTTCCAGTCACCACCAACCAGTAAAGTTAGTTTATAATCCATATATAGATATATCCCATTCTATCCCATTCATATATATATAATATCCCATTATTAATGATCATGGTTTTTATGATCTCCCATTTTTATGATCAGCGAATTTCTGGGAATTTCAGGATCCAATTGATGGAGGTACGTAAACGTACCATTTTTCAGGCCATATGTTGGGGGGTATATCCCTAAAATTTAGCCCTTACAACGGCCTTATGTATGGTAGGTACAGGCAAAAGAGAAAGTCACGCCTAAGTCATGCCTACGGGGTTTCCCCCATTGTCACCGCTGTTTCCAAAAGTCACGCCGTTGACTAAATTTAATGATAGTTGTCATATATGATGACTAGAATGTGGTTATATGATAGTTAAAAAGTGGAGGAAGCATATGCTATAATATGACCGTATATGTAAATGATGATTCCCCTTACTAAGGATATAAGTATATGGGTAGATTAAGTATCATTATCATTCATTACCAGTATCTGGGTGAAACAAACTGAAGTTGCCATTCAACAGTGGTGATTTAGTCATCCAAAATGTTGGGACAAATAAACCAACAATCTATGGGGGATATCATGGAGATATCATGTGGATATAATAACTGGTTGGTGGTTTCAACCCCTCTGAAAAATATGAAAGTCAGTTGGGATGATTATTCCCAATATATGGAAAAGTAAAAAATATTCCAAACCACCAACCAGTAATAAGATAACTATATATATATATGACAACCATAGTTAGTTATGTGACCATATGTGAATGATAGGTATCATAATGACAAGTCATACCATGAACGATGGGTGAATCCATCATTGACTTCATGAAATTTTCGGTTTGTTGGATTTTCATAAACCCATACGGTGGACAAACGGATCATAAACCCATAAACCATAAGATGGAAGATTGTAATATGTAGTTATTTATGGGTGCATTTACTATTTCTAAATATGATAATATATAATATAAAATGTTATGCAACCTGGTGACAATGGATCAATGAGATATGGGATGAATGTGTCTACTCATGGCTGAATAGTGGTTACTGGTGGTTACTGGTGGTTACCTGTGGGGGATTTGTTGGGTTCCATGTTAAAATGTGTTTCTTTGGGTAACTAGCAATGTTGTTGGTGACACCCAGACATAGCTATACTAAGCAAATCAGCAATAGTCTCTGGTAAAACAAAGAGTTTGCTAATTGAACATGGCCATAGACAGTTCGTTGGTCATCATGATCATCTCAATGATTTACAGTGACTGTTTCCCTCGATTTTCTATCGATTTTACGGTGATGAAACACTGCAAAACATCAACAATTGGTGAGGCTTTTGCAAAAGGCAATGGGGATTGAATGAATCTCAATGTTTGGTTCAGAATAAATGATGTATAAAACTGAGGATATATATATATATAGGTATATACATATATATATATATGGATTATACTATATATATAGAGTTATATATATATATGGAAATATAATGATATATACTAAAATAGTAACATATAGCAACTATAAATCCGACTACACATTAGGGTTGGAGGTGCAATATCCCCAGGTATTTAAAAATTGAATAATATTGAATATCTATATGCTTTGCTAACCAGCAAGTGGGATGAACCTCGGATTGGGAAGGAATCATTGGAACTTGCATTTCCAGTTTGGTACACATATAATCACATATATAATATATGTAGATGTACAAGTTCTATCAATTTCATATTATGGTCATTGTATATTCCGAATATGTTTTTCTTAACGTTTCCAACGTTTCCGCATCCTGTTGGGCGACCCAACCAAGGTCGCCTTCGACGCTTCCAAGGCTTCCAAGGTGCAGTTTGAGGTCAGGGAACAGCTCGCCAGTATCATATCTCATCCAGTCTTGGAGACCGTGTCTGCTCCTCAGGCATTCAACGCCAGGTGGCCAGGGAATTACTAGTGGATATATGGATATATTAAATATAATTAAATATAATAAATATAATTAAATAATATAGTGGATATATTTAAATTAATATATTAAATATAATTTATAATAACCACTATGCGAGTTCACCTTCAAAAGTTGGGATATGGGGCCCTATAATTCTGCCTATTTCTCACCACTTAGTTCACTGGGGCTGTTTCAGGGGGATGCCTGGTCTGCAATCGAATCCATCATGCAGCTATGGCCCGAAATACCAGGTATAAGTCAGCTATACCTCCCTGTAAAAATGGAATGATAACCCCATTTATAACGAAATAATACAAAATATTACCATTTCTAACTGGCACGTGACTTTAATTATGGGGGTGGTTGAGGTGCTCAATTTGGCATGGTTTTGTCAACATCACTGCATTTTTTGGGGGGGTTAGATGCCAGCAGTCCATCATCAACTGATGGGTCAACAGCCAATGTCACGTCACAATCTGAAAAAAAACATGGTGTGTTTAATCTTTTTTGACATCATAGTATCATTTTGCAGCAAACAAATTGAAAATCAGAATAATTCATCAACAGCCATCACATTCAAAATTACATAAGATATATTAAGATATCATAACATGTTAAGTCTGAAATACAATCTCCAACGCTGGCGCCATGGCGCCATGGCGCCATGGCGTCGATGTGGCGGTAAAGCCAGGTCCATGGATCCAAATATGGCCATGGCTGGAAGATTCAACGTTCTGAATGGAACATCCAACAACGAATGGAGCTTGATGAGGAATCTGACCCATTACACCATTAAAATCCATTAAACATGGCCTTAAACATTAAATTAAACATGAAACATGGCCTTAAACATCATCAAACCATATTAAACCTCTCTTCAACATTCAACATGTTCCCAGCTTTTGAACAACCTCCATTCGCTGATGATTTTCTGCGAGAAATTCCCTTCCAGGCACCACCGGCCAAAGCGGATCGACACGTCGGGACAAACGTAGAGAGAACTCGTTTCCTGAGGCGGGACGAAAGGCCAAATATCGGCAGATCGAAAGGAACATCATCTTAAGATGATATGTAAAGTATTTCCATATTATTTCCATATTATTTCCATATTATGAACTGAAGTATTATGACTGAAGATGTGATATTGGAACACTTAAGTTCATAATATGGAAATAATATGGACATATGCCATTTGATGAACGTATACACAATTTCCATATTGGATACCTGAAATCCATCAAAACCCCAAAGTTAAATCCGAAAAAATCCGAAAAACCATGTTGCTATGTTGCTTTTATGGTTCTATAAGTTATATATGCATGGTCCTGGTGGTTTTCAGGGGCTTATCAGTCCGTCTTCATGGGGGTGTTTGGTTAAAGAACGGGATTGCTCGTGCAATGGCACGGATCAAATCCAATTAATATTGGTTAGCATGAATACGTATGAATCCCCGAATTAATCCCCGAACTCATGGATTATGATCATCATTGATCATCCCCAAACAACTGGGATACTCAATCCCTGGTCCTCCAAGTACGGTCTCAGGTGTTTAAAACCCCAAAACCAGCCCCACGTACAGTCTGAGAAGGTGTTTGGAGCCATGAATGGAAAATCAATATTTGCTTATACGACTATATATCTTTTAAAGATTTATAGTTTTTTTTGCAATGAACATATCAAATAAGAAACCAGGTTCTTTAGGAGGCTTTTAATGACTATTACACATCCAAACAGGTCCTGAGAAGGTAACGTTAATCCATAAATCATACCCCGAAATAAAATGAAATAACTATATCCAAACATATCCAAACAAGGTACTTGGATCCATGAGGAATGTTGATCCGCTATGGTCCACTCGACAAAAAACATTGGTAACAAAATTGTTGCGCTTATCTAAGAGATTGGTGACACACATTGGCATCCAAGGGTCTATCCAAGAAAATATCTTATCCTTCTTCAAGAAGTCCCATATGCTGCATGTATGGAATATTTACCAACATTTACCTTACAAATGACCCAGTTCTGTAGGTAAATATACCAGCACCATGGTTCGCATATGGGTCCTATTCACCAAACATTAGGACATTCACCAATGTCAGTCAATCCCTTAACGAAACGCCACCAGCACGGGGATCATTCTACTTTTGTTGAGGTTTACTGACCACAAAAAACCATCGATGAATGAAAGAAAATTCAGCCATATGGTTGACAATCCCGAGTGACAAAGACTTTGAGATGATCCGAAATATACTTTTTCAGTAACACAACTGCACTAGACTTTGAGATGATCCGAAATATACTTTTTCAGTAACACAACTGCACTGGCCCGATGCAGGCCCTACTGGCCCTATGCAGGCCCTACTGGAATGGACACGGGGATAATCCTTGGAGTAAAGTCGGGAATCGTCTTCCGCAAATGGTGCAGGATTGCTGCATATATCAAAACCATAGACAAACAAACATATCAATAATTATCAATATATACATGGTATACGGCGCCATGAAATAACCATTTACAGATCATGTATAATAGCGCACCATCATGAAAATCCCCAGCAAGTCCTCGAACTGGAATCATCCCCTGTACAAGTCTACTTAAATGGGTGTTCGAAGAGTTCTAACCAAGTATAACCAAGTTCATTTTGAACTTGCTACTGTAATTACTATCTGTTACTATCTGAACCTCCAAGTTTTGTAAATCATCCAATCATCCGCAATTGGGGCGGTTTCCCTCTTTATGCCCCCCTGAGGTCGCAACTCTTTACATGCCCAGCGGCACCCATCACAGACAGTTTCCATTCTCCGTTCTGCTGCCACAGGTAAGGTTTGCCTTTCGCATGCGACCCTTCAAGCAGTGGCGGAAAAAATGACATGGTCATTTGATCTCCATTATAGTGGCAATGACTAACATCCACGTGAAAGTGACTAGTCCAACATTGACCAATATCCACTGCGTGCCTACTCATTGGAGTTCTTCCATCCACATCTGGTTGGTGATTGAGCCCTACCCCTCTGAAAAATAATGGAGTTTGTCAGTTGGGATGATGACATTCCCAATATATGGAAAAATAAAAAATGTTCCAAACCACCAATCAAACATACATCTTACATCTGTGAACACTATCAAACATTGAACATCTACAAGGAAAACACAGTTTTCGCTTTTTCGTAGTTGATCATCCAAACATTTTGTGGCTGATGATACTTCATCAACCATGGTTCCAGGGCCCTAAACTTAGACATTTCACAAAAATGTGGAAATTCAACTTTTTCCTCGTCTTTTGGAATTCTCTAAGACTACAAAAATCCAACATTTTTCTGGATTTCATGATTTCCAATTGTTGGGCCCAAGCCAACAGACACAGGCGACACAGGCCCAAAGGGTTTTCTTAACACTGCAGTTTGATACCCACATCAAACAGAAAAGTGGCTGAAAAAACTATGGTTTATGGTAGATAGAACTATAGGTAATGAGGGTTATAGTGGTTACCCACATCAAGCAGTTTCGACTTGGAGGTTCCCAGCAAATCACTTGTCAATACCGCTCCAAAAAAAACATCCGGAGCGTGTATGCGGGGTTGCTTCTTGGGGTCTTAGCACCTTCTGAAAGGGGTACTTGGAGCACTAGGCAACATTTATGGTTCTCAAATGTTTTCAATCAACTGTAACCAGTTCAAGACCAGAATCGCCACGGACTAATCTCCAGTTAGACTTTAAAACATCTTATAACATCTTATAACCAGATTAACCAGGCTTTTCAATTTTCTTCGCCACTTGGAGGCACATCCCCACTTAGGGTGGGTGGACTGCTTTGGTCAAGTCGCATCCCTCAATCTCTTCCTCTCCCTGAAATGGAGCTGGCAGTGACCCGTGTACGCTGGGGTCCAACATTGGATCTACCTCTGACGATGAGATGATGAGTAAACTCAGTAAACTTGGTGGTGACTGTGGGGACTGTGGGGACTGTGACAAAGTCGCTGGACAAAACATCAGCTCTGAAGAGGTTGCGACCCATCTCCAGATCCCTACACTGTGCGTCATACTTTTGCCATGGTCGTTTCAACCCTATGAGTCAATAGATGTCCTTCCTTCCAAGAGTAGGGGCAAAAAACACTCAAAGTGGTCAGTCATGTATTGGTCTGGAATGGTGTGGATGATTTTCTCTTGTACCCGCTAAAGATCTCTGACGTGGGCAAACAAGACAAGACCAAAGACAGGTCAGACTGGATGGCCACTTCCGTTTTTCTTCAGTCTTCAGCTTGGCCCACACCTACCAAAATCCTCAATTGACATATATACCCACACTAACCCACGCTTTATTTATGTCATATTGTGCCAAATCGGGTTTACAGGCATTCATCTCGAAAACATCTCCAGCACTGGTGTTTTGTCGATCTGCTGCTCAGAGTTGAAGATTTGCTATATTCCACCCATCCAAGAAGCGATTGGGCCAACTCACAAACTAATGATTTCGTGATGAGAAACGCTCGGGATTGGGGGACAAAGTGGATTTTGCAGGGAACATATGAAAACCCTAAGGGAAGGGAACGGCTCGACAGTCCACGTCGGGTTTCTGCAGTTGTGAACTAATCCTTTCCATCCTTTCTGGCTGAATTAGAACAATTCACTAGCCTGAAATGTTCCGCTATTCTGGGATATGGATGGATATGGCAGTTACACCAACCCTAACCATCATTCCAGTGGTGTGCGAAGTGAGGTCGTGATCAAATTCATCCAGATGTTTGGAACATTCTTTCTGTCACCCCTTGACCCCGCGCCAGGTTTCCTGCTGTTCAGGTCCAAAACTGCTGTCAGACTGTCAGAACAAAACCTTGAATCTCTAATTATCCATCCACTTCTTGTGTACTTTGTTTCATTTCTGTCCCCAGTCATTGATGATTGCTGAATAACCGAATAACATTGAATAACTACTTCCTGGATTTCACAAATACCCATGAAATCTCGGGCAAGACACGAGATATGCCCAGCGCTCACAGCCTCTCATCTTTTGTAAAACCTTTGGAAACGATTTCAATTCATCGGCCAGAACCTCGGTTCGCCACGTAAAAACAACAGCAACCACAAGCGAAGTTTCCGAAGGGCGCCATGTCCTGCCATACCGTTGGTGAAAATAGGGATTTCAAGCGCCACGCTGAGAAAAACAACGATCTGTGATGGCAGTCGTAAAAAATCACATCAGATCTTGCGGCTAAAAGCAGTTGTAAATCAGGTACATCAACAGCAGAATTTCTGCCAGAAACAAGAAACATCAAAATCATGATGCATTTTAGCTTGGTGGTTTGAGAACCCCTGCTGAAAGTTCAACATACCATTGGATCTCTGTGCTGAAGCCGTTAGTTTTTGCTCAAATAATCCCCTCTCTCTCTATATAATTAGCTATGTAGTATATATAATGTATGATCCGAACAAGGATAACACTAATAATTCATACCAATACTAGTAATGCTACCAATACGGACACATCCGGGTTTCACCATCCCAAGAAGCGAAAACATGGTTCCAAGCCCTAAAATCCCATCATATTCCCATCAGAGGTGTCCTCAAACTGGGATATTCTCAAATCATCCATTTTATAAAAGGATAGCCTTCATGAAACAAACCATCCAGCGGGCACCACCATTTATGAAAAGTCCTATGAGATTTTTCCATGATTTTGCCAGTTCCCAGTGTGGTGATGGCAAGGCACACGTTTGTATTTCTGGTTCAAGGCCCTCTCCTCAGCGCCCTGCACCTGCGCCGAGGATTTCGCTTCCAGTCGCAACGGAGGGTGTAACCAATAAAAAATGGAATATAGTTATGGTATAGTAGTCATAGTATTCATAGTGACATCTGACATGTCTGAACTTTGACAGATTGGCTAAAAAAAGGCTTGATTCTTATAATTTTGGCACTGATTTTCTCATATTTTCTCCAGCACCAGCGATATCTGTCAAAAAGGTAGGTCCTTGCAGTGCTCATTGCCCCAACCAGAATGTGCCGAAAACTGCTTGGATCTGCATCCCAGTAACTTGAGTGTAAGCCATGACCAGGGACATCTCTTAAACGACTCTTCAAGAAGTCCCATATGCTCCATGTATGGAATATTTACCAACATTACCTTATAAATGACCCAGTTATGTAGGTAAATATACCATACATGGAGCATATTGGGAGTTGCTAGTACCGTGACTAGTTTGACCATTTACGATGCCGTCCCACACTCCAAACTTTATAAACGGTCCCCCACCTTTAAGGTTTCAGGAAACAGTCTGTCTTCGGCTTCCCCCATCGCCGTGCCGACAGCTAAACAGCTAACGGCCCGCTGGAACGAAAAAGATCTGCCGCCGGATCCTGTGATCGGCGGCAGAGACGACCCGTTGGCGAAGAAAGTTCTCACGTGATCTCTGGATTTCACATGGAGCTCCCAGTCGATGTATGTTTCATATTGATATATTGTATCTATTTGGGGGTTGTCCTAAATTACTGTTCCCACAAAGGCCTCTTGGGCCGAGCTTGCGCCAACCTTGCGCGTTTCTTGCGCGACCACACTCCCGGATCACTTTCATCATTTCAGCTGTTTTTCATCATTATTCTCGTACTTGTTTTCGAATGTTAAATATTTAGTATTCACTTAGTATTTCGTACTGGGAAGTAGTTTGTGCAAGCTTTGTAGTACACAGTAGTACTGGGAAGTAGTTTGTGCAAGCTTTGTAGTACAAAGTAGTATTGGGAAGTAGTTTGTGCAAGCTTTGTAGTAAAAAGTAGTACTGGGAAGTAGTTTGTGCAAGCTTTGTAGTACACAGTAGTACTGGGAAGTAGTTTGTGCACGCTTTGTAGTACAAAGTAGTACTGGGAAGTGCTTTGTGCAAGCTTTGTAGTACACAGTAGTACTGGGAAGTGCTTTGTGCAAGCTTTGTAGTACAAAGTAGTACTGGGAAGTGCTTTGTGCAAGCTTTGTAGTACAAAGTAGTACTGGGAAGTAGTTTGTGCAAGCTTTGTAGTACAAAGTAGTACTGGGAAGTAGTTTGTGCAAGCTTTGTAGTACACAGTAGTACTGGGAAGTGCTTTGTGCAAGCTTTGTAGTACACAGTAGTACTAGTACACAAAGTAGTACTGGGAAGTGCTTTGTGCAAGCTTTGTAGTACAAAGTAGTACTGGGAAGTAGTTTGTGCAAGCTTTGTAGTACACAGTAGTACTGGGAAGTAGTGCAACACAGTAGTACTGGGAAAGCTTTGGTAGTGTAGTACTGGGAAAGCTTTGTAGTACACAGTAGTACTGGGAAGTGGTTTGTGCAAGCTTTGACAGTAGTACTAGTACTGGGAAGTAGCTCTGCACGTGTTGAACTTCTGTGGTTTCAGAGCGGTTTCAGAGTGGTTTCAGACCCCTTCGGGGGGGTCTAGCTGACCTTGATGAAAAGAACAATTTACAGACAGAAAAGACTTGAACACAACATACAAGGAAATACATTTAAAGAGCAGATAGATAGATAAATAGATAGATAGATAGAGATAAAGCAGCCAACGCGGTCCGGAAGACATGCAGCAGCAGCCCGGAGATGGTGAGCAGGAAGGTGTTTCAGAGTGGTTTCAGACCTCTTTTGGGCTTGTTTTTTGGGTACCCCCAGCTTTGGGAGATGAAAAAAGAAAGAGAAAAGGTAGAGAAAGAGAGAGAGAGAGAGAGACAGAGAGAGGAAGAGGAGAGAAGATAGAGAGAGAGAGAGAGATAGAGAGAGAGAGAGAGGAAGATGGAAGATGGAGACAAACAGAAGGCGAGAGAGAGAGAGAGACAGAGAGAGGAGAGGGAGAGGAGAGAGAGAGAGCGTTGTAAATGGTGAGCAGCGGGTGTTTCAGAGTGGTTTCAGACCTCTTTTTGTCCGTAGGCTACCTCAGCTTTGGAGAAAAAACAGGAAAAGAACGGGAAAAGAAAGAAGAGAAGGGAGAAAGAGACAGAGAGAAAGAAGAAGTCTTGAGACGGTGAGCAGGAAGATGTGTCGAACTGGTTTCAGACCTCTTTTGGGGCCGGTTATGGGGCTACCTAGTTCTTAAGACATCCAAAAGAAGGGGCTCAAAACAGATTGTACTTGAAACACATGCGGTCCGGAAAGACGTGCAACGGTCCGGAAAAGCAAGCACCCAAAACGTACTCTAATCGTAGCGATTGCGGTCCGGAAAGGCATGCAGCGGTCCGGAAAAGCGAGCACCCAAAACGCACTCTAATTGTAGACATTGCGGTCCGGAAAGATGAGCAGCGGTCCGGAAAAGCAAGCACCCAAAACGTATTCTAATTGTAGCCATTGCGGCCCGGAAAGACATGCAGCGGTCCGGAAAAGCAAGCACCCAAAACGTACTCTAATTATAGATATCGCGGTCCGGAAAGACCTGCAGCGGTCCGGAAAAGCAAGCACCCAAAACGTACTCTAATTGTAGCCATTGTGGTCCGGAAAGACCTGCAGCGGTCCGGAAAAGCAAGCACCCAAAACGTACTCTTATTGTAGACAACGGTCCGGAAAGACGCGCAGCGGTCCGGAAAAGCAAGCACCTAAAACGTACTCTAATTGTAGATATCGCGGTCCGGAAAGACATGCAGCGGTCCGGAAAAGCAAGCACCCAAAACGTACTCTAATTGTAGCCATTGTGGTCCGGAAAGACCTGCAGCGGTCCTGAAAAGCAAGCACCCAAAAAGTATTCTAATTGTAGACATTAGGACCGCTGCAGGTCTTTCCGGACCACAATGGCTACAATTAGAGTACGTTTTGGGTGCTTGCTTTGTCTCTCCTCTCTTTCTCCCTTCTCTTCTTTCTTTTCCCGTTCTTTCCT